AGGCATTTTTCCACCTTTTAAAGGTATAGCACGATCGTAATTTTTCCTGTAAACTTTCTTCAAAACTAATTGTTTATGATTTCTGGGTCAATACGTTTAACCGTGTCACGACGCTCACGGACGAAGTTAGAAGGCTCATAAGATAACTGTGATCTTTACCATAATTTTAAGCTAAATATTTAATCCTGTTTTGATGACTCAGTTGCTAAGCTAAATTCATATATGTCTTAAGTTTATTTCCTATCGAGCGTCTGGTAGATCGACGCAGCCATTTTTTTCCTAAATTAATGAATGTTGGAATCAATCCTGTAACCTATATTGTTTCATGTAATTTTCATCCCTCGGGCAACCCCCGGCGGGGGCCTCTGAACTTTTTGGGGAAGGCTCGTTCCAATTAACGCATCCTGGCACATATACATTTCAAATGCCTTACCTTAGTATATATTTAAACCAAAAGTAACTTGATATTTCGATGGCTTCATGTCATCATTACCAAAGTGAAGAAATGAACATGGTTTGTGGATCATAGAAAACGAAAGCGTGAGAAGTGCAAGTAAATTGTTAAATTTAAGGGTAAAAATGGAAAAAAAAATGACAATTCAATGAAAAGTTCCGCTCCGATGCAGCCCACTTGAGTGTTCAGAGTCGGTCTTATATTTATTTAATTCAGAATGTTATTATTCAACTTCAGTTGATACCGTAAACAAATAAAAAACCTTTGTATATTGTTTTTAAATGTTTCACTATGCTTTTGCTTTTTAATTCTGTTTCAAACTCTGCAGACCGGCAGTGAAATCATTTTGGGGGTTGCGGGAGTGGAGTGTGGAAGTGTCAAGTTGATTGGCACATTAAAGTCATACATGCGTTTGCTTACTTTAGCCCATTGTTTATGAACAAGGGTTTTGAATTCATTACTTTTAATAGCCATAATGTCTCCCCTTATTTAGCCTAGAACTTAACATGAATAAATGTCATTATTATTCATTCAAAATATTTCCCCGATTCTGATTAGGCTAAAAGCACACGTATAATTCACCATAACCAGCTACTGATGACCAAATTTGGAAGAATTTTGCGATTAATGAACCGATGATGTCAAAATGCAGCTTCCTTGCAGGTTAATGGACCATTAACAGAGAAGACCTGGGGACGAGGTTGAGTTGTTTTGGTTGTCAAAACAAAAATGGCAGACATTTCACTTGTTTCAAGAGTAAGAACTAAGCGAAATAGTAGCTAAAAACATGGCAAGAACAGCAAGAAGACAACTCAAAGGGTGACATCTGCTATTTGGAGAATATTTGTGGGGCTGAACAACCCTAAACCAAAACGTGCACTACCAAAGATGAACTTAACATCGATGGAGGTAAGCATGTTTTAGCTATGTTTTTAAACTAGGAATTATTTTGAATGAATAATAAAAAAAATTAATGAATTCAGCTTTTGCATCGTATGAATAATTATGGAGATCTCGGAGAGTGTTATCCACCTCGGCCTACAGCCTCGATGGATAACACCCTCCTTGATCTCCTTAATTGTTCACAAGATACTCAGCCTCATTCATTAATTGTTAAATAACCTGGAGCTTGCTGATTTTTTTCCAGCACCTGCACCCCCCCCCCCATTCACCCCGACCACCAAGCAATAACTCACTTAACCACTTTGATACTCACACTTATGAACAGACTCAGGCCCTTATCTTTCTAAATGTATCTTTCTAAATTAGTGTATTGTTGATACAAACAGTTGCCTATATGGCTGCATACAGTAGTCAAAAACTCTAATATAAATTGGAGGGTACTAGGTATTAATTGTACTTCAGTTGTCAATGCCCTCACTTGGGATAAGGTACACTTTAAAGACCACAATGAGACTGTATCACAAGTTTACGGATGTTTGCAATTCACTTTTCAGTTGACTCACATCAGCATTTTAGTTTATCCACGTCTAGTTTCTGGTAAACTGATTTGCATCTGAGTATTTTAATTATTGATAATTCAGGACATAGATGTTACAGGGGCATAGCCAGGATTTTTCTAGGGGTACGCACAATTTTCTAAATGTATCATTCAAGATTCAGTCCACCAATGAATCACGTCGCTTCTCTGGAAACCCACATAGTTTTGGTTGTAAAAAAAGCTGTCTGCATGTTTTTAGAATTAAATAATTGGAGAAAAAATGTGCTTTTAAAAATGTTTGCTTTTTTATTATTCACTTTTTGATTTTTTTGATTTATTTTATATTATTCCATTTTTTTTTAACCCTTGACTTTTTCAGGTAATGCACGTGCATACTGTGCATACAGGTAGCTACGCCCCTGTGTTTATTTCAAAAGTATGATATTCATCTTCATCTTTCCCAGTTATATTATATGCAAACCAATATAACAACCTACCCAAACTGGCTTGCTAGCCCAACTGAATAGAGCACTGCACCAGTATCGCAGAGGCCAGGGTTCGAAAATACCATCAAACCTGAATGATTTCAGGCTTTCTTTTTGCAATTGCACAAGTTGCATCTTTAACTGCAATCTTCTTCTTTGCATTTAACACTGTAACAATGTTGAATAATGTGATAATTGATGATACCTTAGGTATCAAATGTACCAGATAACATTACTAGAATATGATTATTAATAATGCAGTATACTCATTAAGGCAATGCCATTGTAGTGATTTGATTTAATTTAACTATGTAGTTGTCACCATATTCACTCTATGTTAAGATTAAATCGAAGTTACTAATTTAAATAATAAATGATAAAAATATAAGAGCAAACTTTCTAACCTGGTGCAATAGTCGTATGTACGGTTAGACATTATTATGATGAAATATGGACATGACCAACACAAGTTATAGGCTAATCTAAAAACGTGGAGCATGATATCACCCTGTTCTATAACGAGATGCCTAATCATGATGTCATTGGTTCCCACTAACTAATCTTCCATATAGACAAAGTTGAGCAAAGGTATGCTAATTATCTCTGTTTGTGACTGCTGGAGTTTTAAGAGTTACAGTGGCGATGGACTGTTGCATTTGCAGCTACAGCTATAACTGAGGATTTTTTCTTGTGTTCTGGAATAGGAGTTGACATTTAGTTAAGCAGTAAATAGCAGATCTGCATGGGCGTTTTGATAAAGGTGACCATGCTATGAGCTTACAGATATCTAACCTTAAAGTTTTCTCAAGCTCGTGAAGTGAAATGAATTCAAGTGGAAATTTTGTTTTGTTTGCGAGAGGAATTTCTCATATTTTAAGGACATGTTTTATTTAAGGGAGGAACGTCCCGTAACAAGATCTTTTATGTTTTCTTTATGAATGATGGACCTGTTTTATAGCTTGTGATTCTTGTGTATTTTGTTATTTTGTTACCAGGTTTTAAAGTATGGATAAAGAGGAATTAGTAGATGTTAGAATTCCAGCTCCGTCTCCTGATGAGGTTAGTGATGATGATGAAAAAGTTGCTGAAGACTTGTTACTGGAGGGAAAAAGAAGAGACAGCATCCCTGGACTCAAGCCTTCGCCTATGCCAGGAGTCAATTTATTTTCCAGATATGTTACTTATTGGTAAGTTGAGAAATGTGTTGAGTCGCCAAAATTTGAAAATATTGAGGTTGTGAACCTGGATTTTTCTAATTTTAACTTTTTACTGCACCGCTTCTATTTTCCTGCGTCCAGTCAAAATGTAATTTTCCTCTAAAATTCCTGCCCTAAAAACTCACACATGCCTACAAACCTGAACTCTTATTACACAGTCTACGGTATGGGTATAGGTATTTTTTTTAAACCTGCGGCAGGATTAGCTCAGTCACTAGAGCGCTTGACTGCAGAGCGGGAGATCGTGGGTATTTATTCGCGGGGCCGAACTAATACTCAGGGTTTTGCCATAACTGAGTAGTGAAGTAATTAGAGAGGTTAAGCATCACGTTTACGTCAAACGGCAAACGCTAATTTGTACCACGTGACCAAGTTTCCTCTTTACTTTTTGTTTACTGTTCATTATTTCTACACCTAAATTAGTAGTTTACGCAACTTTTTATCCATAAGAATTGTTTTGAGCTGTTTTTATCTGCACATTTTCTATTTGGAGAAATTCTCAACTTGAATCTGACGTTTGCCGTTTGCCGTATACGTGAAGCTTAAACTCTCCGCTTTCTTTGCCCTACTAACGGCTTGGCTCGTACAGCAGTCCAGTCTCCAGAGGGAGTCGTAAAAATGTGTCCACAATACTGTACTTCCGTGTTAAATACATTGTCACTCAAGTACTTTTTTGTTTTTGAATTACCCATGGAATATGTTTTAGACTGAATTTGGACGCATTTACTTATACTATTCTTATTCTTTGTAGGTGGCTGAATCCACTTTTTTCTCTGGGAAGTAAGAGGCCTCTTGAAGCAGAAGACTTTTATGACCTCAGATCACAGGATAAAACTGCCGTACTTGGAGATCAACTTGAAAGGTGTTAGAAATAATAACATCGTTAACGGGCAAAAGAGCTTTTCGATGGTAACTTTTAATCGTGCTGTATTATATTTAGTTCCGAACGCTTCATAGCTTTTACTTTGACATCTCGAATAGCTTGGAGTAGTGAACGATTGACCCTTTCAGTATGCGGAAATGTTATCGTTGAGAACATTGTTCTTATCAGTGAAATCAGACAGCTGACGGAAAATCAGCCGTTCGTATGTTGTATAGGTCACTTTGTGTGAATGGAATTCGGAAGAATCCCTGAATTTTTCACTCTCGTCGCAACTGCTTAACAAATTGCGAACACAACTGAAATGAACATTTCTTTACTTATTTTCACATCCGCAGTTGGCAAACTATGGCTCGTTTCATGTAGTTTACCTTCAAGTTGCGAACCCACAATGAGATGCTTGTTGCGTAGAATCCTTTTTTGCACCATATTAATTTAGTTTCACAAACGTTGTCACTTGAATTGAACTGGATTAGAAAGAATGAGATTTTCGTTGGAAAATGTAGGAACACCTGTGCTTCTTTTTCCAGATAGAGGTCAGGAAAATGGAGTATTTCTTATGCAATGAAGGGTCCTTTTTGATCATCCTAACAATATGTTATCACTGTTTTCAGGGAGTGGGAAAAAGAAATGTACAGAGCGAAAGAAAAGGGAAAACCTCCCAGTTTACCGCGTGCTATCCTGAAAACATTTGGAAAAGGCTATATAAGCCTTAGTGTTTTTCCAGTTATAACTGTGAGTTGTACTTACATGATCAATGCAATAATCTCGCGTTTACTTTGCAGTTTTTAAGGCCCCTTTCAAACGTAGAACTTCACATTTGTGGTTGGATATCTGAACCTGAAAAAACACTTTAGTTGAGGACACCTTTATGTCTCCTACTGGAGAAGGGACCTCCATTTTATGCGAACATCCAAGCCGCCGAAATCCTTGCCATTTATTGACTATTTTCGAATCCCTCATAATACACTCTATTTGAGGTCAAATTGTGCACGCGTTATTGTCTTCAAATGCTCTTAGGAAAATGCAGTACTCCCAGGAGCATTTAAAAACAATGGTTTACGCCATTTTTTGGGGGGGAAGGGGGGGGGGCAAACAGTGTATTATGGGGGATTAGAAAATAGAGAATAGGGAAAAGGAAATTCCTTCATTCCTCAGTTATTTAAAGGTCATTGGTATTGGTCAAAGTCGTGAACTCCCACTCTGCGGTCAAGTGTTGTACCGACTGAGCACTCATGGTTTTCTTCAACTTTAGACATGGACAGTAAGAGAAAATCCGTCGACAGCACTGAAGAGAGCACCTTAAGATTAGTAAAACTGCATAGTTTGAAAGTGATTTGTTAAACACTCTGAACGAAGATATAGCTCCTCAAAGTCCCGAAACTTTACAGTTGTTTGTATAGTGGGGGGAGGGCACAAACTTGTCCCCCCACCCCACCATACAAACGTCTTTAAATTTTTGCAACTTTGCGGAGCTATATCTTCGCTTTCTTAAGACGTATCACTTTCATATTTGGCAATTTTACTAATAGTAAGGCGCTCTTGCCGGTGGTGTCGACGGATTTTCCCTCACTTGTCCATGTCAAAAGTTGAAAAAAAAACCCGTGAATATGTCTATTACCATTAAATGTTGTGAACTTTAGCTTTGAATGATTTCTTCAAAAATTATGAAGCATTTGAGGAGCTATATCAAGCACTCCACTCAGTATTTCATCCGTTTACAAGATGCTTTAAAATCATTCTTGACAAAGTCGGCTGCGCCTCGCCTCGTTTTCAACTCACTTCTAAGTGAGAAAATATCGGATGAAACAGTACGTTTCACGTTTGATATTGTATTGTTACTGTAAGCTGGGTTGGTCCCCTTTTTGAGTCTTTTGACTTCTGAAACGGCCTAAGCACCCATGAAATACCAACATCTTTGTACTATTTGTGACGTCAATGATACTGTGTTTTCCACGGTGACCTTTTTTGTGTGTAGGCGTTGCTTTTCAGTACGGCGTTACGGACTATTGTTTAAGAATAATTTTCGAGCTGTACGTGTTTACCGTCATTCTAAGACGCAGGGACTATCTGTTCTTGTAGACTCTCTGTTCAGTTAGCAAATTTGTCATGTTTTTACCCAGGATGCACTACGAATCATCCAGCCAGTCTTTGTTGGTTTACTGATAAATTTCTTCAACCAAGAAACCTCCACAACTCAAGAAGAAGCCTTCCTGTATGCACTGGCTGTGTGTTTATGCAGCCTTTTGTCAAGCTTTTTAATGACACCTTTTACCTTTTTAAGGCAATGCTATGGTATGAGGGTGAGGATTGCTTGCACGTCTCTTGTGTATAACAAGGTAAACAGTGCTCTTCGGTACTTTTACATTCCTGATGTCCTGTTATGCACATTTCAAACAAAATATTTGTGCAGATCATCAACTACATACATAACTCGATTCCTGCTGGTCCTGAGCCCACCCAGTAGTTAAAGGAGATTTTCGTTGATCGGGTAAATGTGTCAAATTTCATGAATGCATTCATATAGACAAACCATGCACAGAGACAAACACAGTGACCTTGATCTACCACTTTTTCCACCCGCATGAGGTACACACATTCACTGCACATTCCTTTGTCATGGTTCTCTGGAAGGTCTGAGTGGCAGATGCAAAATCAAACGGTAAACCGGCCAAAATATATTAAGCAGTCTAGTCGAATTAGGCTTGATAAAGCATCCAGTGTTGTGAAAAGCTGCGTATCATACAGATTCACTGATACTTCCTCCAAAGTTCGCAAGTTTTCCCTTTGTAACCTATTTAATTTGTATTATAGGAAACAATACGGAAAAAAATTTAACGGTATCTTGAGCGCTAACAACTCATACACCTCTGGGCTGGTCGTTTCTCTAAGGTTGTCAGGTATTCTAATATCATGAATATATCCATAGCTACTGACTCATTGTTATTTGCATTCCTACATGTAGGTGTTGAGACTAAGCAATACTGCAATGGCTAGTACAACTACTGGAAATATTGTAAATTTGGTTTCTTCAGACACCCAGAGATTTGATGTGGTATGTAGCTCTGCGTCCCCCGAACTTTTCTGTCATAAGTTTTCATTTAACAACAAAACAACAGCATTTATTTCCTTCAAAAATGATATTACAGGAAGTGCTGACCCGCAAAATAGCAAAAAATACTAATCAAGGCGGATTGGCACCAAGACAAACAAGAACGCTCATATCACAACCCTCAAAGTTAAAGTTTTTGCTTGGTCGCCATTTGGCGACCAATTCTTTTGGTTTAGGGAAACTTTTTTACAAATCAAGTCGCCAGCTTTAAAATCTTAGGCGCCGTGGCGGCTAAAATGGTCGCAACTTGGAGGGTTGTATCAGCGTTAAATCGAGCTTGCTTGGAGATTAGATAAGAAATGAGGAGGCCTTTAATTCTACACGAAACAGGATTTCGTCGCTAAAAGTTTTTCACGTCGTTCTTTATCGACCGTCGAGTAATCTTGAGGATATTTACTTTTTACATCGCATTCGACGATTTGTTTCTGAATTGACTGAGTACGCGTATATAAATACCCGAAAATCAAGGACCTCGATTCAAAAGAAATTACATCATTGCCGAAGAGGAAAAACGTGATGAACGTGGCACGTCATTTCAATTATCGCGGAGAACTGACCGCATGCTCTTCACGAAACCTAATTGAGTTTACCACACAATTGCGTTTACCACACTCGACCAACGAACCCAGCAAGCGATTTGCTTCTTGTCGTTTGCCTCAACATGCAAGTTTTGCTCATAAAGATTCTTCTTTTTTCCAGCCACCGAAGGATTCACTTGTTTCAAAGTAATCACTTCTTTCAAGTGATAGAATTGGGGGCCGATCAATCTTTCCAAAGCTTTCTTCTCAAAACATGCATAGACCCAATGCGAAAATCGCTGCTGGTTGAATACCGTCGTTTGAATTTTTTGAAAAAATTAGCCTGACTAGCCTCGTTCTTCAGTACAAAATTCAAAAGAATACATTATCTCAAGCGAGTCTAGTCAGGCTTATTTTAATTGAAACAAAAGAATTTTAATGCAGCATCCATTTCTGCATTGGTTCCATGGCGCTCTGGAAAATGTTATGTCGGTCACGTCGTGATTCTTATCCCCAGTTCCTCGCTAGGAACGCCTGGTACCATGACCCTCTTTTGTATACTAAATACGAACAAAAGAAAACAGCTTCCAGATTACGACTCTCGCTGCTATGCAAGCTCGAGTAATTAGTACATGACCTAGGTCTGAGCCTTAAGGGACCCCACATGTAGGCTTTGGAAGGTGAACGATTAGTTGTTGCGTTTTATTTAGGCTTGCTTTTTCCTCCACTACTTGGTGCTTGGCCCAATTGAAGCAGTTGCAGTACTTGGTCTCCTGTGGAGAGAGATTGGTGCCTCATCTTTAGCTGGAATGGGTCTATTGTTTCTCTTAGTTCCTGTGCAGATTAAGATGGGCCGTGTTCTGATGTTTCTTAGGTAAGCTGGCTAAGTGCAGGCAACCTCCCCTAAATGACCAAGTATCTTCCAAAGTTATAAGAGATTGTCGGCTACATCTAGTTTATGAAATGGTAAAGTTCAAAAAAGTGAACAAGTCAAAAAAAAAAACCCTGAAGAATAGGCTTTCATTTTTTTCGCCCCTCCCTTCCTGTAATACTTAAGCTTCTCACGTTCTTTGCGCTTCGGTTAGACTTTGAAACACAAAAAGTTACACCTGTTCTACAGGCTGTTATGCTATGTCGTTATCACTTATGACTGCGTTGTTTAAGTGTCCACAGATGTTGAAAAGGCAATAGTGTCGATTTACAAGTAAGTCACTGGCATTGAAATGTTTGTTCACACGCATGCGATATATTAACTGCAGCTTGAGCGGGTGAGAGATTTGATGTAAGTTGGCAGTAAAGTTAACAACGAGTTTCTGTTATATTCTCAGGCGTAAAGCTGCGCATTTCATTGACGAACGTGTTAAAGGAATGAATGAAATAATAAGTGCCATGCGGGTCATAAAGATGTACACGTGGGAGGATTCCGTCACTGAATGGATAACCAAAATACGAAAGTGAGTGCTTACTTACTGCCAACACTGAGCGTAAAGTTAACTAATGTTACTTTTCCCAGCAGCATACATGATGTGCTTACATTCACAACATGTACATATGTCTCTTCCTAACTCAGTGGCAACAGAAGAGGGCAACTGGGTCCCGGGGGGGAGGGACTGAATTTTTTTTGTCCAACAAGACATGATCTATTTCTCTTCTTTTTTACTACGATAGTTTAGCTTGCAATATTTTTATCTCGAGAATTTGCCTTTGACTTACCATAAATTGTTTGTTTGTTTGTTTTCAGATCTGAGCTCTCTTGGTTTCTGAAGCTGGCCTTTGTGCGTGGAGCATTCTTGTCATTTTTCTTCAGTTCGACTGTGCTGATTACTTTTGTGACTTTCTTGACGTATGTTTTGACAGACCACATTTTAACAGCCCAGAAGGTCTTCACTTGTTTGTCACTTTTTAACTCCATCCGTATAGTTATGACGCTGTTTTTTCCCATTGCCATTACTTTCTTGAATGAAGGAAGGGTCTCCATTGAAAGAATTCAAGTAAGTTGAAAATTGTTAGTGCTGTAAAGGCTGATGACGTGAAACGGTCGAGCCTTTCACATAGTCTGTTGTTGCTGAATGATTTTCGCCGGTGGATGTTAGTAGTCAGTGAATAATCCAATCTAAATTTAGACATTGCTGTAGTAGGGTTGGGATTTTTTGGAACCACCTAAAAAGTACATGACCTTACCGCATTTTATTCATGAGATAACTACAACATGCTATGACGTCAAGTAAAATCAACTAAGATTCCTGTGCAAATAAGGGGTCTAAAATATACTACCAGAAACTCCTTATGAGTTTCTGATACTACTCATTGCCAATTCTTGTGAAAGATCCCTTTGACAGTGAAAGTGTTTTTGGTAAAGCTGTTTGGTTATGAGTGAAGTGTGATACAAAAAGGTCCCCAAACAGGTGACGGGATCAAACTAAGTGCATGATACTAGATGTTCTTTTGACAGAGTACATGGAGTGAAAGTATTTCCCAACTGAGAGTTATAAATGCGAGATGCAACATAACGCCTGTCTTCCGTTCCACTCATTTCCCCTGTGTTACAGTCCATTTTTTGTCTGTGTTTTAACCCCAGCCAGACAAATGTCTTCGTTAACTATAAACAAGTTTTTCCGGTAATCTTTTGTCAAGATGGTAACTTCCTGTGACTTGTTATGGTTGTAGAAGCTGCTGCTCCTTGATGAATGTCATTCAAAGGGACTGATAACATCCAATCTGAGACCTAAGCTAGAAGACTGTGGAATTAAAGCCGAAAACGTGTCTGCAAGCTGGAATGCGGTAAATCGTTTCTCCCCTTAGTTTGCTCTTGATTTTGTACGGGTAAGCCCTAACTATGACATGTAATTCCTTTAACAGTCGCGAAACAAGCCAACCCTCAACAACCTTACTTACGAGGTTTCATCGGTGAGTAATTTTCACCTCGGTAATAAATTTTTGTCTATAAATTAACACTTTCTCGAGGGCCTTTATCTAAATTTAAAAATGCGGGCATAGGTTTTGTAGTGGCCCCAGGAAAAGAACATATGGGTCTTGTGATTAATCAAGCAAGCTTTCTAACATTTACGGAAGTCCCTGGTCTTCCACACTTAGAAACCCCAGGAAATTCGTCGTCTCATTCCGTCTTATAACACTTTTAAAACCCTTATCGCTTTCCCTGAGGACTCACGGACAAATGTGACCGTGTAGTTAACGAAATGCTGCAGATCAAACAATTGTCACCATCTCGTCAGTTGATGGTATTATACTCTGGTTATTGGTCTGAGTGGTCAATGACGTTGATGTTATTGGTCATCTGCCAGTTAAGCCGTGATGCTATTGGTTATTGGCTAACCCTAACCCTAACCCTGTGTTGCACACAAACCGATAACCACTTTACGGCGACTGCTTACTAATGTCAAGGACAAAGACAAACCGGAGGACAGACAGGGAGCAGTATACAAGATCAAATGCTGCGACTGCCAGGTCTTACATTGGTGAAACCGGCAGAAAGCTAAGCACGCGACTGACCGAACACCGAGCGACGAGAAATGGTGACGTCAACAATCACATTGCTGAGCACCATTTACAGACGAAACATCGAACTGACTGGGACTCTGCGACATGTATAACGTATTCTACAGACTACTATCAACGTCTTACTTTAGAAAGCTGGTTTACTAACTTAGAACAAACGCCACTGAATNCATTGCTGAGCACCATTTACAGACGAAACATCGAACTGACTGGGACTCTGCGACATGTATAACGTATTCTACAGACTACTATCAACGTCTTACTTTAGAAAGCTGGTTTACTAACTTAGAACAAACGCCACTGAATCGTAGCCAACAGTTACCAGCGCCGTACAAACGACTTATTAACGAGATCAAGCAAAACTAACTACGAGAGAACGACTGGAGAACTGACAATTTGACTAACAATAGACGACTGTTTAACTGTGACAATAGACGGATCAAAACTCACCAATTACTGATTACGAGTCTTCATAGCCAATAACATCATGGCTTAACTGACAGACGACCAATAACATCGCGACGTAATTAACCAATCAGATCAATGACCAGAGTATAATACCATCAACTGACGTGATACAACTCACTTTGACTCTGAAGATGACTACCGCACAGGTTGTCGAAACGTCAGTCACTGTCAACAACAACAGTCCCATTCAGGACTACGTTCACCCGGACGATCAAACTCAACCTACTTTTGAAATGACTCCTGGGCTCACACCTTTCACAAAAAAAAATTAAGTGTCTATCTGGGAAACATCGAGATTCTCAGAATTCAAAATTTGCTGTTTTCCTCCGAACCAGTTAATTATGTAACTTGTAATTGTGGTGGTTGTTTTTTGCAGGGCAAACTACTAGCAGTCATAGGACCAGTTGGGTCTGGCAAGGTTAGTACATGTAGACCTTTACCTGATTCCCACGGCTTGACTTAAATTTTAGTGTTATTGTACTTAACTAGCATAACCTGTAATATAAGCGATATGTTAATACTCAGCATTACTGTCTTTTGTCTACAGGGGAACCCCTTCTACGGATAGTACCCGCTTAATGCAGACTCCGGTATAAAACAAAAAGGCTAGTTTCGTTTGTCCCGACGAAAAGTTCATATACTTTTCTCGAAAATTAATCCGCTAATGCGGACACCGGTTAATACAGTCAACAGACATTTTCCTGGGTCCCGAGTCACAAACTCCCATATATGATACAGACACCGCTTATCTGCGCACTTTCTATCACGGAATATTTTACCACTAAAAAGAATGACCTTTGTAAGCTTCAGTCTTATATTCAGTCCACTTGGCTGAGTCGCAACTTAAAAGCGTCAGTACAAAGTCACAATTCAGTTCCACTGTCGAGTCACACGACCAGTAATTACAAGTAGTGGTAAATTAAGTCCGGACACAATGGCATATGATCGTGAGGTTTCTTTAGGTTTCTTTAGGATACTTGTTTCAGTTACAGTTTTTGATTTTGATTTTTTTTTTTTCCACGTTAAAATGTCTCTTTATTATTTATATCGATAAAACGTGTCCCTGACGTTTTTTCGGACAGCCCGCATAATACGAACACCCGGACACTATGCCATGTCTCCTTATTTATTATTCATTAAAAATTTATGGCATTAAAAATACAATTGAAAATATAAAGGTCAAAGGATAATCTGCAAAGGAGTCTAAGACCGACCCTATATATTAACAGATCAGCGTGGTGTCCGTATTAAGCGAGTTCCACTGTACTTGTAACCATTTGGCACTGGCACGTGTTATTATTCCTCAATGCTGAAGTGTAATGTTTTTGTTGTTGTTGTTTTAATTCCACAGACGTCTCTTTTAATGTCCATTTTGGGTGAGCTGCCCCTGACTGAAGGACAAATTACTGTGAGGGGCAAAATTGGTTATGCCTCACAACAAGCATGGATTTACAACGGATCTCTAAGGCAAAATGTTGTCTTTGGAAGTGACTATGAGGAAAGTCGGTACAATGAAGTTATCAAGGCTTGTGCATTGCAGAAGGTTATTATTCATATATTCATGTAAATTTCCTAGAGGTCGGTACACACTAGGCCACAAGTTGCAGCAACAGGTCGCGGCGAGAGATCACTCCGTGTGTACAGGTCCGGCGACTAGTTGCAGCAACACGTTGCGGCGACACATCGCTTCGAGTGTACTGGAGAAATTTGTGAAAATCTTTGTCTCTGCAACAAAATTTTGTCGCCGCGATAAGTCGCACAAATTCTGTCCGATTTATTTTTTGCAACATGTTGCTGCGACAAAATTCTGTTGCAGAGAGAAAGACTTTCACAAAAACTCTCCAGTACACACGGAGCGATTTGTCGCTTCGATGTGTCGCCGCAGCATGTTGCTGCAACTAGTTGCCGGGTCTTGTACAGACACGGGGTGATCTGTCGCCGCAACATGTTTCTGCAACTTGTCGCCTAGTGTGTACCGAACTTAGGGTTAGAAAAAAAATTATTTGAATTCGTTTTCACAGAGGTTCTTGCCCTCGGATTGCTATACAATATGAGCGTTTACCAAGGCGAGCCGAAGGTGATCCATTGTAAAGCCCATACAGATTAAACGCCAATTTTTTTATCGTACTTATGAAGTGAAAAAAAAAAATGAAATTACCAGTAGGCATATTGTCTAATTGAATACGCAGCTTAGTCACGTGCAAAGACCTTTAAACCTGGTAAAATTCATCTAACTGAAAAGAAGCAGTGGCGGATCCAGGAGAGGGGCCGGTGGGCCCGCCCCACCTCTTATTTTGAGACCAGACTGGGGCTCGAAGGGCCGAAAACAAAATTTTTTTTTGAGACCCCCCCCCTCTCTTATCTCAGGGTCTGGGTGACCGAGCCCCCCTCCCCCCCGTTATCTAAAAGTCTGAATCCGCCGGTGAATCAATCAATCAATCAACTTTATTTAAACACGGTAAATGGCTCAGCAAGCTGGCTTCCAGACATGCCGTGTGATAAAGATGGAATGTAGATTAGGATGAACATTTTATATAAAGATTACGTATGAACCTGAAATTTGGATTAAGAGCGGTTAGCCTTATTTGCAAAATAATAATGTTAAAAATTGGACAAAATATCTACAGGAGCTAATATCGTTGTTAAGCTTAAACCGACCGGTAAGAACTTATTTTAAAATGAAATATGCACAATGCATTTCAAGACGCGACTGTGCCACGAGCTAAGAATGAGTCGTTGGCGAAAAGAATCGCAAGCAATTCTTACCAGTTTTCAATTGTGTATGTCGCTTTGAGGTTAGATTAACTGACGCTCTCATCTAGCACATTTTTGCAAATTGGCAAATTGACATTTTTCAATCAATATGTATCAAAAAGAAATACGTTATTTACCAATACTATAGAAAGCCTCGGAGAAGTTTTTGGAGCTGTTCAAAACACTCACAGTATGTGTTTTATGAATTATAAGACATTGTTGTTCGTATTTTAAATGTTACATAGCCAATAGCAAAACGTTGCATTCATTTTTTTGTTGTATAAAATTGTAAATAGCGGTGAAGTGCGTTCGATATTCCCCTTTACCTTAAATTCAGAAAACCCACTGGACAAGCCCCAACTCCTTTATGTCAGGTCCCGAATGTGACCCTTTATAATCCAGTCATCTGTTTTAGGATATTGAGCACTTGGCTGAAGGTGACATGACTCTTGTTGGTGAACGTGGAGTCTCTCTGAGTGGTGGGCAAAAAGCAAGAGTGAGTTTGGCTAGGTAATATATAAAGCAGTTTTTGTGCCGAGTACTGTATATTTTATTGCATCCCTTTTGAACGGGTCTCATTCGTAAATGATTTCGTTGTCGATTCATTATTAAAGAGTTGTGGTTAAATGGCTTTCATTTGGCTGAAATGACGTTAAATGTTTATGATGGATGAAATGAGTCTAACAGGCACGGAACCTTGGTGATGTATGTAGGTGTGTGAGTGACGTCAAAGAAGGGGAGTGACATACAGCAAATTTCACAAATGAGAATGAATGTAAGCTCTTGGAAAGAGTTTTGAAAGAATGTATGGAAACCCTTAATATTAAGATGACAACCCACCAAAGTATTGAATTGGGTTTGGTTCAAATAATTGACGTTCACGAGAAATAGCATTTTTTATGGAGCTCTTAAATTGCATTTTTTTTGCCATGGTAGATTACTATGTTAACTTAAACCGTTAAAATCTTTTGAAAACAAGGTCATGATATCAAGTTTGTTGTAATCTGACTGCAGGGCGGTGTATGCTGATGCTGATGTTTATCTTTTGGATGATCCTCTCAGTGCTGTAGATGCAGATGTTGGACGACATTTGTTTGATAAGTAAGTCCATAATCACTATAACCTTTCTCTTGCTCTCTTTTGTAAGTCGATAAGAGTAAACCCGTCGTCTTCAAATCACCAAACAAAAGTGAATGTGCGACGTCAGCTCTTACTAGGCAACGAAGAAACTAATAAAATTGCTTTTTTGCATGTTCATCTCCAAGTTTTAACCCTGCACCATATCAAAACACTCTTCGGAAACATAACTCATTTGAGTTCATGGTCGTCCTGTTGGTTTGAGCTTTTCGTTGATTTCCAAGGTATAATTGCAAATCCTAAATGAGAGCAGCCCCTTGGTTCGGCCCGGGGAAGTTTCAGTGAATCTCTCTCTATGGCTTAAGTGCCTTTGCTGGTTCTCGTTTCAGTGGCGTCAGGCTTAATGCTATGATAAATTAGTTGTGTAATAATTTTCGAATTTTCATCGGGGCTTGATGCGATATTTGCCGAACATGGCGAATGTTACCGAGGGCGAAGACGTCTGAAGGCATACACGGAAGAATCAGATATACGCAATATATTTTTTTAAAAAAATGAATTTGTGTATCTAGTCCAGACCACTAGCTAGTGTAAGTTACAATACCATCTAGAAGCCTTTTGAATTCTGTCGACTGATGATGATCCATATTGCCGGAAATAAATGTAGACACCAATGAATGGTTTTCTTTCTTTTCACGTTTTCGCGTGTTTGCATGTTTCCGTCTTAATTTTCGTTGAAAACTAGAATTCACCTTGCCAATTGTCATAGTGGTATATGTAACTGTTACATAACTGTACATTGTTTTGCTATGCAGGTGTATTTGCGGTTATTTGTTGAACAAACCACGTGTGCTGGTTACCCATCAGTTGCAGTTCTTGAAGGAGGCTGATCAGCTTCTAGTGCTATCTGATGTAAGTACTAGTACCTCATTATATTCCTGTGTTCCTTAGTGATGATTCCAACATCCGGAAAATTGCCTGTCTTCTCGTAGCTTTATGTATGTTGTGGTCTCATCCGTTCGGAAGCCCTTCGGGCTAATTCAGCCACAGGGGCGGATCCAGGATTTTGTTTTTGGCAGAATACCAGTTGTATTAGAAAANTCTAGGTACAACCTTTTTCCATTAAGGACGGAACGGTTAACTTGTTGTTCACCTGTTACATTTATGAATTCGCGCGTAAGTTACCGTTGATGTGTTCGTGGTTGTTCCTTTTTTGTGTGTGTAGCAGGTGGGCATAGTGATATTGAATGGTTGACTGTTGTTAGGATGGTTTTCATCGGTCGGTTCGTTTTGATAAAGCTCTTTTGATGTGCAGTTTCCAGTCTCTAACATTCTAGCAAGTGTGCCGGTTGCCATCAGCTCACCCCAGACCGGATGTCATGTCTGTAATGGCAGTTCTCTAATCAGGGTCAGTTTAAATACGTTTTTGGTGACATTGTGATGAAAAGCTGACATTATATAGCAACGTATGTAACGGCGGCTTTTTGTGGTAATCAACTTGAAGGTTTCAGTTATTGTGTACTGGTTGATTAGAAAAGTTTCACTTTTTTGCAAGGGATAAGGACTCAGCTTGATATTGTATTGGAAACAACTGACTTGCACCTAGGTGAAAAATTATGTATTCATTTTGCAAATGCACATTTCCCAGTTGATTTGTAATCCTTTGTTTTGATCAGGGAGAATGTATTGGCCAAGGAACATATCAAGAGCTTTCAAAATCTGGTTTTGACTTTATGGCTTTACTAATTGAGGAAGACGAGGATGATTCAACGGCGGAGTCTGACAGCGAATTTAACATGAAACGGCTTCTAAAACGATCAGTTAGTCGCCAGCACAGTCAACTTGAAGGAAGGAGAGAACGTACCGATAGCCTCCAGTCATATCCCACCCACAGGACCAGTCTTGCCTGGGAAAGCCAGCTATCAGTTGTAACCTCCGAAACTCAAGTTTCCATATTCGTAAGATTTATATTGTTGCAATAAACGATAATTAATAATTAATTGTTAAATTATCAATATGCGAACTCATGTTTACAACATTACGACGTAGTCGTGCAGGAACGTAAGATCAGGTAGAACGATAGAACGATGGAACGATTGTCGTGTAGTAAAATCCTCAGATAAATAACAACCTATCGTTTTTTTAAATGGAAGCATTGATTTCCAGTATACCATAAAACACATGTAAGATTGAGGTGTAATATTGACTTTGGAATTACCTCATTTCAGGTATCCAGTCGGTCCAAATCGCTGATTACAGTTTACATAAATTGGATAATACATATGAGACTGGCAATCAAATCGCCCTCGTGTTCATTACATTCTGTATTCACGAGTTATAATAGTCAATGATCATAATTAAGGAACAAAATGATAAGTTCTCTGCTTGTCGATTGGTAGATACGATAAGAACTGGTGACGTTTGTGCGACAACCAGGGTAGACCACCTTACTGATCGCGCAGACTAACACCATTAACTTTGCTATTATGAGTTTACTTAGCAAGGCTAAGTGAGAAGAGCTTTGTTTCTGTAACTGTTACCTTGCTGTATAAGAATTGAGTATAGAAATATCGTTTTTGTCTATTTTTGTATTTTAGTTGGGAATATACATGAACAATATATGAGTTTGTCATTTGTTTGGTCTTCTTTCAGGAGGAAAATATCCTCCCCAAGGAAACCAAGCAAGAGGGTGCTGTTAGCATGGACACATACCTTCGATACTTCAGATCTTTACACAGTTTAACCGCTGCCCTGTTCGTGATTTTGTTGTTTGCTGTAACGCAGGTAATTTTAGTTTAGTCTATTGTCCACCTGTAGTAAGTAAGTAGTATATCATTGCAAAAGAAACCTTGTTTTGGGGTTTGGGTTGATGTTTTCAGTAATGAGGTGTTGTTATAACTAGGCAGCTACTGCATGGCCAAAACAAGGTATAATTCAAAACAAAGTACACTACTCTTGTAGCTAGTATTAATACTGATTTGTAGGTTTCCTGCGATGTATGCAATAAATCAATAAGACAAATAATCTAGTACATATTAATTCGCTACATCAATTGGTGTTACATGCTATTTTGTTATAAAAGGTTCTGATCGTAGAGGATGATTAAAAGGTAAAGAAATGGTTTTGCTGTATGTAATGAGATGAAGCGGATTATCTTTCTTTATTTCGGACATAATTTTTTAGCAGGCCAGCTCTCTGCCAGCAATCGAAAGTGAAAATGAAAATATAGCGCCATACTCCACTAATTGTCCGTGGCGCTTTACAATACCATAACTCTAATTAATTTAAAAAACTACATTATTCAATACAATTCAGGCTAGTAATTAAAACTATAAATCAAGATAATTCGTAAACAGATGTGTTAAGCTTAGTTTTAAATACAGTAACTGGCGATGATAACCTGATGTCCAATGCTAAGTATTCCAAAATTTTGGAGCAGCAACGGAGTATGCCCTATCACCATAGGTTTTTAATTTAGCCACGGGCTCATCAAGCAAATGCTTGGTTGAAGATCGTAATACGCGGCCCAAGTTTTTGGTTTGTTGTCATCCAGAAATTTTGCTACCATGGCAACGTGACGTAACGACTTCTCCTCTCGTGACTTTAGATAGAAAATTTGAAAAGTTCTCGTGATCAGCTCCGTTCTTTTTCAACAATGGCTTAATCACGCCAACTTTGAATCTATCGGGTACTTGGCCACCTTGAAGCGACAAGTTAACTATACGAGTTATTATTGGAACTAGCCGATCCTGACCCCGCTGGAATGGCATCAAGTGCACAGAACTTTGTGCACAGGGTGCTAACATATCCAGAGATCACTTCCTCATCAACCAGCCTCAATTCACCAAGAAACTGACTGGCCAAACAGGACTCGGTTTTAGTATTATAGGGTGTTACAGGGCTGTCATTCGGAACTCGAGGAAACGTGTCAAGATCATTGCGAATTCTGACAATTTTGTTGGTAAAGAAATGTACAAATGATTCAGACAAATTGTCAGTGCCAGATGGATAACGTTGGGCGGGATTGGAGTTTAGAAGTTTCTCTACCGTCTTGAAAATAATTCCTGTGTTCCCAGAGTTCTCCTGGATCTTGATGAATAATAATCGTGCTTAGCTGAGGCTATCATGTTGTTAACAACACCGTTCTGGAAAAAATAACGTTCTCTGTCTGCATGTTTTTAAGATCGCCATTTGCGTTCAAGCTTCCTCCTAATATTCTTTTGTACACTAATATCATCAGAGTACCAGGGCACACATGACGCGTCTTTTTAGGAGCGTAGGCATCAAGGGTAAATTTCAAAACAGAATGATATGAATTAACTAATGAATCAAGATTAGTACGAAATTCATCAACTAAGGGAGAGTTTCCAAGAGTAATATTAAGTTCTTCACAATCAATCGAACGCAGCTTCCTATAGCAAATAGTTTTCCTTTGAAAGAAGAGCTTTTGTCGGCGCCTCTTGGTACTCAACGCCAGGGATAATAATGCAAAGCACGTTTTTGTATGTGTTTCAGTGTTTCGGATAAAAATGACGGAATATTTGCAACTATTCTAACACGGATCTAACTAGGAACCAGTACGCTCTTGCCACATCGTTAACAGAGATTCCGCATTTCCTTAAGGTCTTCAGAGATTATATCCTCGGATTGACTTTCTTTATTACTTGATCGCAGTGAGCGTTGCTGTCAAATCGATGGATAAGATAGCTCTGAGTATTTTATATTACTGCGACTTGACCCACTTGACAGAAGCGCTTCCGGTGGAAAAAGGATGCCAAAGGCAACTATTGTAATAGGGAACGTTAATGGCCATGGGCCTGCATTTTACAGGATATTGACCCATTTTTTTACTGAACAGCAAATGATTGGATGTCATCAACGATAAAATTTAGGACAGATGCAATAGACCAATTGCGATATATTAAAATTCATATTTGGCTGCGAGGCTTGAGGGAATAAAACAAAAGAAATAGTCTTAAGGCTCAGCAATGAATAATTCATTTCAGTATTACTGCACTTATTTTCTTTAATTTCTTTTTATTTATTTTTTTGTCTGAAAGGTTGTTTTTATGGTGTCAGATGTTTGGTTATCGCTTTGGTAAGTTTTCGAATATCCGTGTCAGGTATTTTTATCTGTAGCTTATTTTGTTGATGAATTAAAGTTGAAACTGCGTAACTGAAGACGTTTTCCTTGGAAAGAAAAGAAGTGTTTCACCGAAATGGTTACTTTGCGTGCTTTTTGTTTTCTCATAACTTTTGTGACCAGCACTGAATATCTTTTCATCAAAACTGATGTAGTGACCTTTACACTGCTCCCATCCTACCCGGCATTCCAAACGTGCTTTGCATGATTCAGCACATCACATAAAAAGCGCTTTCAAGGCCGAGGATTTTTAAACATTAATTAACGTGTCCCCATAGCTTGCTTTCAGACTTACGGTAAACAAAATCCTACAGAGCAAACATACCGTAAACAAATCAGCAAGCAAAATTAAAGGTTAATTTTCTTTTGACTGAAGTCAGTACTTTCTATCATCATTTTTTTGGGTTTAAGGTGCAACGAGGAGGAGAAGTATCTTCTGGCAACATTGCGCAACAATTCCTCTGGTGAAGTAGAAGAGCTGGACCGTAGTCTTTATCTTGGCATATACTCAGTGTTTGTTTTTGGTCTTTTGTTCTTTACATTACTGCGAACGCAGCTTTTCTTCAAACTCACTATTGTCGCCTCGAGAAACCTTCACATGAAGATGTTTTCTGCTCTCTTGATGGCACCATGTTATTTTTTCGACACAAATTCCATAGGTAAGAGATGAGTAATTTGTGGCATGTCACTAACTTCCTCAGTTCCCGGTGCTCTACTACTCAGCTTCAGAAGACTCGTGAGAGGGAAGGCCATTAAACTGGGTTCATGTGGCAAATATCCTGCATACTCATACTCGACATTCCAATTCTAGCTGCTAGGATTGGAAGGGAAAATATGGAACATGCGCAATGATTTAACTGTGATTTTGAGTTGTTTTCGGTGGTTACTAGCTGTTTTGATACATCTCCTAGTTAATCTTTTCAGATTGATAGATCCATTTTCATTTCGACGTTACCTCGTAATTATGACCAAATTTAAGAAGGATGAAGATGGTGGTGTTGACGACGTTCCACTTATTTATATGGATTGCATTCAATTACTTTACTTTCGCTGGCAGTTCGGGATGATGAGGCTTAAATTACCAGCCCGAATATAATAAAACATGGTCGCCTCACTCAGTTTTTTCATGTCATAGCGGGAATGATGTTAGGTATTTTTCGCTGCTGTTTTCCGAAAGTCAGCTGCGGTCAATTTTCTGACCAGGATATAGATACCTTTAATAATAATAATTTATTGATCGGATAACCACTAAAAGTGGCAGGGCAGCCCGGGTAGAAAGCCATGGGGCTTATCACGTTCAGGCTACCCATTTACAAACAAATTCAAAGTTATTTAAGTATATGTAGATGACAAGAATAAGCTATTAGGGTACGATGACTGTGACAGACGGTTCCATACCGCTGCTTCAAGACACAACCTGTGATGGTTACGTTTTGGTTCAAATTTTTTCTTTGGTTTGAATTTTTTTAAACTAGAGGATTTTACTTGCAGGTCGAATTTTAAACAGATTTTCCAAAGACTTGGGATTCATTGATGATATGATGCCATTCACATACTGCGACTTTCTACAGGTACGTAGGGGTAGAAGGGGTGGGAGGGTGGAGGGTTACAACATTTTAACCCTCTTACCCTCTCTACCTTACTAAATTGTTTTTTAAACGTTGTTGCATGCATTGAAGGTTCTATAAGTGTACAAATTTTTTCTGGAAAATTTGTTTTTTGATATTCTGGAGTTTAAAAGTAAAGATTTGCTTTTATCAGCGTAGTTGATAAGGTAGATTGGCGATGGTAGGGGCTAGCTCTCGAAACGAGACTTTCTTTATCTCAGTCCCTACTGTGGCCAATCTACCCTATCAACATAGTTAATAATTTTACTGCCAAGGTCTTAGGCCCGGTTCAGACGCCGAACTTTTCATGAGCCGAACCTAGTTCGAATTGAGGCCGACCCAAACTATTTAGACCGGCCGAACTGATTCAGACGCCGATCTTAATTCCAGCCGAACTAAATTCAAACGAAGTAAAATGCTCATTTTGGTCAAACTGCATGCAAAATACGTTATTGTTAGTCTCGCTTGCGTAAGCAGCGAGACTCATAATCTGCAACGCGCTTTTCGTCGCATTTTGTACACAAATGGGAGGTCGTTGTGCCAGGCGTTCCTTGCGGAGACCGTGGGAACTGGGACTAAGAATCTTTGCGTGATCGAAGCCACGTATGTTTTTGCAAGGAAAGCTTAGGAAAGATTAAATTAGGAGCTTTTCCGAAACGTGTTGGTCCACGAATTCTGTCGCTTGAAAGCGATGATTACTTTGGAACAAGTGAACACTACTGATTGGTCGAAAAAAATAAGAATCTTAAATAGCAAACCTGCGATGGTCGGGTGTTGCAAACTTTCATTGTATGCAAATGGGTCTTGTGATAAGCATGCGGTTTATTTTCGGCGATGATTGAAATTACGTGCCATGTAAATCACTCTTTCGATCTTTGGCGATGATGTAATTAATTTCTCTGTAATCGAGGCCCTTGAATTTTCGTGTATTTATAAACGCGTATAGCCTGTGACCTCAGACGTATTACCGTTCGTCGCTAACACGCGTACTTAATCAGTTCAGAAACAAATAAAAAGTATCGACGTCGATAAAGTAGGAAGTAAAAACCCTTCAGCGAGTAAATCCTGTTTCGTGTAGAATTAATCGCCTCCTCATTTCTCTATCTAATCTCCAAGCAAGCGAGACCGACCGCCGCTGTAAGAGCGCTCTTGTTATTTATGTATTAGTTTCGGTACATGAATCAAAGCCGTTCCAAGGTCGTTCCACAGTCGAAATTCCCGGCTGGGCTAGGCGTGAAGAACGGCTGAGCCGTTCAAAATTGAAATAGGCTTTTCTAATTGATTCAGATGCCGAACTTTTCATGTACTTAATTCAATGTATTAGGATCGGCTCATGAAAAGATCGGCGTCTCTTTCTCAGTCCCTACTGTGGCCAATCTACCGTATCAACACAGTTAATAAATTCTCTGCCAAGGTGTTAGTTTTCTCAAGTCTTGTATTCTCCATGTATTTTGCTGTTTTCAGACCTTGTTTGTTGTTGTTGGGATTTTGGCATTGGTGGCGGGCAACAACCCCATCACATTTGTTGTTGTGGTCCCTGTTGTTTTTATCTTCTGGATCTTAAGAACTTATTACATGAAGACATCACGAGAAGTTAAGAGAATTGAGGGAATAAGTAAGTGGTAATTACCGAATTGTTTCTGATTATTTTTCTTTAACCTGCAAATACTTTATATTTTCTGTGGAATTATGAATAATGTTAATCCTAATTAATTTGTGGGTCTTTCTTGGAAAAGGGGACTGGGGGATCTCGAACCCGTGGCGACCGAGATCATTCGGCGTTAGGGTTTTATGCCACTGATCGCATTAGGCAGGCACCTTCTGAACTTGTTGGAAATCATAAGTAGGTGCATTTATAAGGGTATATAAAATAAAGACTGTCGTGGTGGTGGTGCGTGGTGGTGTTGGTGGTGGTTTACCTTTGCTATTTGTATTTCTTTTTAATCACCCCTGGTTTTTGCATTTTACTTTACTTTGTGTGTGAACAAGTTGGTAGAATATTTAACCTATTTTGGAAGAGGGATTGCGCATTTGTCACCTCTTGGTGGAAATGCTACTTTTGTTCATTGTTAAACCGTTTTCTTATCATGCACGAAGACATGTCCGTAAACGTCTTTTCGTAACATAATTTTTCAGAAAAAATAGTTTTAAACCAGAAAAGCTAACGTATTGTATCGTGAAGTTGCTGTGCGAAAGAGCACAGTACATACCTGCTATTACCACGATCGGCCGGTATGTCAAAAAGTGGGGGAAAATAATTTTGCTTGACATTGCTTAGCTTTCCCAACTCAAATTAATTGCAAACGGTAGGAATATTCAACGTTCACCACATGCGGGTATGATTGTATTGCAGGTCGCAGTCCTTTGTTTGGTCATTTTTCTACTACCCTGCTAGGTCTTGACACTATCCGTGCATTTGGAGCGCAGGAAGTGTTTATAGATCAGATGAATGCTTATCAAGATGCACATACCAGAGCCTGGTTCACATTCATCTCTACCACAGCCTGGCTTGCCTACAGGCTCGATCTACTTTGTGTCGTCTTTATCTGCTTTGTGGCTTTAGTTTCTCCTGCTTTGAAGTCATGTAAGTTACTTTGTCGTGGAACAGTGGAGATGAAGATCTTCTTCCTTGTAGTCGAGACAGGCTTTGTTTCTCAACTTTTAAAGTTGAAATACATCGAACAATTTTAAGAAAGTTAAAGTGGATTTGGTCCATTTCTCGTTGTTTATTGGCTGAGTCACTGTGGCGGCTCTCCTGAAAGCCTAGTCGTGAACTAGTCGTGGGGAGGAGCGTTGTGTGACGACACTAAAAACGGCTGTGTAGCAGACTACTGAAAGCCTGGTGAAATATGATCGTCCCGTTGCGTGTAGTCCTGAATAAGACTAGTGTTGACGGTACTGTAACTGACCCTTAGAAAACCTTTGCGAAATTTGTCACCAGCGTCGAACTAAGCTAATGATAATATCATCATCATTCATCACTTTATTTCTGTGTCAGTAGGTAAATGGGCCATTTGATTCAGGCGTCGACTTTTAACTCCATTAGCTGTCAAAACCTCCTCTAAAAGCAACTTGTGATCAGGGTAGTTGGTGAAGTGGACGTATTCAACTTAACGCAACCCATGTCAATTAAACGATCAAATATAGTTAGCAGAGGAGACTGTAAGAGCCCGCAAAATCAAACATGAAATCAACGGTGCTGCAGTTTATATAAGGAGCGTTCTATTGCGTTTGCATGAATTGTGTTTGAATAAATTAGTGGTCGTTTCTATTGGTCAGTTAATTCAAAATAATATCAATTTTGTTGAACGATGTGCACGGACAAAAACTAACAGTAAAGACATAGAAATACAAGTCTGACGGGGGCTTCATGATATTTATTAGTTCACGAACTATGAATCGAAAGTCAAGTGCATTCCTAGGCGAGGACGTCTTATCTACATAGCCCTTGTTCAATTTCTTTGCTGATATTGACTTGTCGAAAACTGAACAACTCATACAAAAGTAATGACATTAAACAAGTATATTTTGTCTCCAAGAAGCAAGAAGAATACAAACCTTCTTCTTAGGCCATTTTACCAAGCGTTGTTTAGACTTTTCTTTGTATGATATTCGCGGAAATCCCGTACGTGGGTTATAAATGAACTATAATAATTATTTTGACACGTAAAACGCGACGTCTGAATCAAATGTCGAAGCTAAGTCAAAACTTCGACTGTGTCAGTCGCAGATTCTGCAAACGTCGCATATGATTTTAAGCTATCAAATTTCGGCGTGTTTGATTGACCGTATTTCGGAATAAGAATAAGTGGAAGGAACTAAAGAAATCAGTTGTATTGGTATTGAGCGCATTGCAATATCTAGAAGTCTGTGTGAAATAAAATATTCCGTTGGATGTAATGTTTAATTGGCCCAAAAATCACGGTAGAAGAGATTTGAAAAAAAAAAAAAAACATTTGCGTATTCTTATTCTGGAATACGATTAATCGAACGCACCCTTATTGATTCAGATGTCGCATTTCACATGTATTCAATTCTCGGTCGCTCGGTTCATGTGGAATACGACGTTTGAAACGGACTTGAGTACAATTTGTTTATTTATTCATATGCGATATTTGCACAGACGGGTCAAATTGAACCCTACCGGTTTAAAATGAAGGCCGGTGAAAGTAATGAAACTGCCTCCACTTCAATAAATTATGCACTAAACAAATGACAAATCAAGAGTATACAAGCGTACCGAACTTTCAATCAATCAATCAATTTTTTTTTCAGCATTTTTCAGTACTTATGTATTTAATGCGGTAAATACCGTTTTTTCCTGTCCTCGTGGTATTTGCAGCCAAGAACTCGCAATCAAAAAAGTGTATTATTTCAAAGTTATCTCCTTTTGTAGTACAAAGAGATGGTAAAGTTCCATTCCTGACAAGACTCAAATGTATTTAACAGTCATTCAAAATTGTTGTAGTTCTCGGCTTAGATCTATCCTTTATGCAATTCATTTGTATTTAGTAGAATAAAAAGAAGTGCGTTCTAGAAAATGGTTCACCACAAAAGGAAAACACTTACATTTTATTCCGCATTGTTATCTGCTTTTAGCCTTAAGTGCTGGTTTGGTTGGTCTTACATTAAGCTATGCAATCAAGATACCAGGCGTATTCCAGCAGTGTGTCAAACAAAGTGCAGAAGTTGAAAACTTGGTGAGTATTCCTCAGGATATTTAAGTTCGTAACAGTGTGTACTGTACATTTTCAACTTAACAAGGTATTCTTTTTTGAATATTTCACACAATACTTATGGTTGAGAGTAGAATTAAACAGACTACAGAGAGCTTCAATCCTTGAGAAGATTTAGAACCCCCTCCCCTGCCCCTCCCCCTTCCCCCAAATCATGGATGGGACAATGCATCCATACAGTCGACTCCCGATAACTCGAATCTTCAAGGGAAATCGAAAAAAGTTCGAGTTGTCGGGAGGTCGAAGAAAATAGCCGGGAGAAAGCAAAAAACAGTTTTTAATCACCCATTTAAATCGGGAGGTCGAAGAAAGGTTATGTGACAATTGAAATATCCGAAAAGATACTTCTAGATTATAAATCAGAAGGTAACGTAACAAAACATTGCCTAAATAGAGCATACGATTTACTGTCTTGAGAAGTAAAGCTGTTTCACGTTAGATTTGTGACAAACAACATCAGCCTCCGGGGGGGCGGGGCATTTGGGGATTTTTTGGGTGGGTATGTGCCGCCAGGGACACCAATTTGGCACCCTGCTCTAAAAAAAATTTGCCCTAAAATTGATACCCCGTTCTAGAAATGGGCCCATTTTGTATACCCCGTTCTAGAATTCGCCCTATAACTGAGCCCCGTTCTAGAAATGTGCCAGTTTTTTATACTCCGTTCTAGGGTGCAACAAGAGTATAACAGTTTGCTTGTTAACGCATTGAACCGTATTTTTAAAAGCAATCTGTCCTTGAATAATTTCAAATGGCTGCTTGCAAAACTGAAGCTGTCGTGTATTCGAAATATTATACCCCGTTCTAGAAAACGCCTCTGAAATGGATACCCTGTTCTAATCCAGGAGCTTCAAAATCACGACCCCGTCGGGCGGCACATACCCGTATAGGTAATGTATCCCTCATGGGGGGGGGGGGCGGATCAGCCTACACTGGTAAACAATGCCTAGAACACGTCGATGGGAAATTCAAAATTCAATGTTTCGGACGCCAGGACACTGTTTTTTTCCGACTTTTTAAGGGCTCAAAACAAACTCGAGTTATCGAGGGTAAAATTATATATTAATGATCTGAGGGGAAACAAAAATTTCTTTGAGTTAGCGGGAGGTTCGAGTTATCAAGGCTTCAAGTTACCGAGGGTAAAATTACAGTAAATGTATGACGGAAATCCAGGGGAAATCGATTTTTGGTTCGAGTTAGGACGAGGTTCGAGTTAGCGAGGGTTCGAGTTATCGGGAGTCAACTGTAGATGTTTTTTATTTGGAGTCTTATATAATAAATAGTATATCAACTATTTCCAAATAACTTAAATTACAAACAACAAAAATTTCTAACCATATATGTCTAATAAGTCATTAATTAATTAAGTCCTAGAGTATTTTTAGATTGTTGCTTGTAACGTTATTTGAGTAGGAGGTCATGGCTAGAAAATTTTTTAGCCTTAAGTTACACCCCGTTACATTCATTCAGTTATTTTCTTCCACCCTTAGATGACCTCTGTTGAGCGTGTATTAGAATATTGTGATCTGCAATCAGAAGCACCAAACGAGACTGACACCAAGCCTCCTAAATCCTGGCCATCCAAGGGAAGAATTGAATTTGATAACATGAGCTTTAGGTATCACAAGAGTTTACCACGAGTTCTTCACAGCATCAAGTGTTCAATTGAGCCTACAGAAAAGGTAGATTACGACATCTTTGTGTGGACTGAGTCAGTGTAATAGTGTTGACACGACAGTCATACAAAGACGACCAACTTTCAACCCACGTTTGCCCATGAATCTGATTTGGACGCAATAACGAAAAAAAACATTAAACCATTAACCCATCTTCATGAAAACAAATAGATTGTCTAAGTCAAGAGAGAAACTGTTGATTGCGTTAAAATCTTATGAGGGCTTCTGACGAAGGAAACGCGGATCTGTTTAAGCTTGACCGCAAGGTCTCTACTTTGTTTGATTCTGTAAATATGTTCCTCTTGATGAGGTTAAAAAGCTTACACTGGAACATATTACAATTTACATGAGCAGCCTCTCGTGTTTAACATTCAAATGACATAAGGTTTAACTTTTAAAAAAGTTTAAAAGAAAGTGCCTCAGTTGAAAGTGCTTCAGTTGAATTTTGAATTTTTGCTCTCTCCGTCTCTCGCCTCTTTAACATTATTTCTCAGCACCTCCTTTCCGTCCATGGTTATGCTGACGACACCCAGATTTACCTCTCCGACCTTGTTCTATCCATTCGGAAATTAACGCTGTCTCTGTGATTGAAAAGTGCATCGCTGATGTTCGCTCTTGGTTTATTGGAAATCCTTTAATGATCAATGATGCGAAAACTGACTTTCTAATTATTGGCACCCGTCAACAACTTGAAAAAACATCTATTGAATCTATTATCATTGGTGACACTGTCATTAAACCTTTAGAAAGCGTCCGGAACCTTGGATCCTGGTTCGATGCTCATATGCGAATGAATGTTCACATAGGCAAGATTTGTAGCAAGGCTTTTCACGGACTATTCAACATAAGACAAATCAGAAAATTCCTTACCGTGCAATCCACAAAGACATTGATCCATGCCTTTGTATCTTAGCACCTTGATTACTGTAACGCACTTCTATTTGGTCTACCTAAATATCGGCTTGATCGTTTACAGAAAGTCCAGAATGCCGCAGCTAGTTAGTTAGTAAACCTTTATTTAACTAGGGTAATCCCTTCAGAATACTTAAAAGTATATCTGCTATCAATAGGAGCCCTAAATTAAGACTAATAAAAAAAAGTTCAAAATAAATAATAAGAAACTAAGTAACTATACGTTAATAATAGTACAGTATAATAATTAAAACTAATTCTTATTTACTAAATAATTATTATACACAACTGAGCCATTATAATAAAAACTTTTCTTGGCGGTCTCAGTTCTTACTGCAGGTAAGTATATAAAATTGCTTCTTCTTGTTTCTCTTGAAATAACTTCCTTATTCAACTTAAAATAATTCTCTAAAAACTGTGGTACATTATTATTTAAACACCTCTTCACCACACCTAAAATATGAGCGTTACTGCGATCTTCTAAACTCTGAAATTTAAGATAGTCGGTGAATGTTGTACCACATTTAGATTTAACTATAATTTTCGAGGCCCGCCTTTGCAAATATTCAAGACTTTCCATATCTGCTTTATTGCAGCTGGACCAAACAACATCGCAATTTTCAAAAATGGGCAAAATTAATGAATTACACATCTCGAAAGCTGCATGTATAGTGATATTCCTTCTAAGGCGCCCTAAGACACCAACTCCTTTACCAACCTTAGAAATAACATAACGAACATGGTCTTTCCACGTAAGACTATCGTCAAGAACGATGCCTTAATACTTAAAATCATAGACTCTGTTAATTTCATAATCACCTATTTGGATAACTACTGTGTCAGTAGCTTTAGAAAGCCTAGCATCAGTTCCAAAAATTACAAATTCTGTTTTACTTTTGTTGATAAAAAGAAAATTACTGAGAGTCCATTTATTCACTTCATCTAGTTCGGCATTCAAAGTTTCCTCCAAGATTTTAATGTCCTTGTGGGCTGCAAAAACAACAGCATCATCAGCGTATAATAATATATTGAACAGCACAAACAACAATGGTCCAAGGGTTGAACCTTGCGGCACACCAAAAGCAACATCACAAGGGTCTGACAGAGTACTTTGGGCTGTCACCACTTGTCGTCTATCGGTTAGGTAATCCCTAAACCATCCAAGCTCTTTTCCAGTGACTCCATATCCCATCGTGAGTTTCTCCAGTAGCAGGTCATGGTCCACTGTGTCGAACGCTTTCCGCAATTCGATGAAAACTGCACCAGTTAGTAGACCCTGATCCATACTGCGCCCTATGCTGTCAGTGAATGATAAGACAGCCAAATCAGTGGAGTGGCCCTGAAAGCCAAGAAGAGTGACTTTTCAGATTGCGAAATTTGATCATATCACACCCGCTCTTATGGACCTACATTGGCTTCCAGTGACGTTTAGAGTTCAGTTCAAATTGCTCCTTTTTGTTTACAAGTCACTACACAACCAAAGTCCATCGTACATTAAAGATCTTTTATCCATGAAACCAGCTGCTAATTATGCTCTTCGTTCGTCCGCATAATCTCTTCTGTTCGTTCCAAAAGTCAACTTCCTCTACACTTGGGGATCGGGCCTTTGCTCATACTGCACCTGTTTTATGGAACTCGCTGACATTAACTATAAGAACAAGTAGCAGCCTCGCCATTTTTAAAAAGCAACTTAAAACATTTCTTTTTAAGAAAGCTTTCAATTTGTTGGAATAGTTCTAATGTTTAATTTTAATTTAGTTTGGAATTTTCGAATTTCATTTGTTTTTAGATTTTACCATAGCATAACATATCATTGTTATTATTATAGCTTTCAGGGATTTTTAAATTGTTTATTTATTATTTATTTATTAATTTTAACTTAATGTAAAGCGCTTTTGAATATTCTTCTATAGTTTTAGCGCTATACAAATTCATTATCATTATCATTAACTTTTAAAGAGCCACGTATATAATTGTATTCTTTTTAATTTCTGGTTGTAGATTGGTGTAGTAGGTCGCACTGGTGCCGGCAAGTCGTCCTTACTCTCCACCTTGTTTCGCTTGGCTGAACCCACTGGTACAATCAACATCGATGATATCGACATACGGGAACTTGGGCTAAAAGATCTGAGGAGTAAACTGTCCATCATCCCCCAGGTGATACAAGAATTAACAAAATGACTTGAAATCCGCGTAATGTTACTTTCCCGTAAACAAACTGTCTCTTTTTTAATAGCTTTTGTTAACCACTTTATGATGTATTATTTTCACGTCAAAGGAACCTGTCCTGTTCAGTGGCACCATGAGAAGAAATCTGGATCCTTTCAATCAACACAGTGACTTGGAACTATGGAGTGTCCTTGACGAGGTTAATTAATTAATCACCTGTATATTAAGCATAATGTTTCTATTTTAAATTCTGTTGCCTCACCGTGTATAGCCGGAATATCGCAAAATTGTTTCACATCTCTATTGAACAAGCGAAGAGGAGCACGCTTGAAGCGAATTCTGGTTTCGCTGCATTCTCGGATTGAACGTCAATTCAGCAATGCAACTCCGTGGCAACAGGATTGTTGAATTTGTGGAGTAACTGAAACTGGAACTGATGTCATTCCATGTCTTCATTGATGTTCGAAGTTAATTTAAGTTATTTTGCAGGCTTCAGCCATTTTCGGAAGTTGCCTTTAACTCGAATTTAAACTGATTTAACTTTATAGTCGTTCACCAAAATTGTCTACCCCTCAAGAACCCGTCAAGTGTTTATAACAAGTGCCAAAAATGGGCACAGAAATGCGTAATTTCTCAGAACTTTGAAATTGTGAAAATGTGTACTTTATAAGAATGAGAATAATGGTGGTGATAATAATAATAACAATAATTCATTCTTTCGTGTTTGAGCGTCTCGACTCTTTGAACGTAGAGGATTTTTAACAGTTTTTTGTTGTGGTACCTCTAGGTGCAACTGAAGCAAGCTGTTGATAGCATGCAAGGAAAGATGGACACCGTGTTAGCTGAGGCAGGCTCCAACTTTAGCGTGGGTCAGCGGCAGCTTGTCTGCTTAGCTCGTGCCATTTTAAAGCATAATAAAATTCTTGTGATCGATGAAGCCACAGCAAACGTGGACCCGAGGTTTGTAAAAGTCCTTTTTTGCGCGAAAACAAAACATATACACAACATTAAACAACCTCGTTCCCAGTGTTCTCTCTTACCCGTAGGGAGAGAGAGACAGGGAGAGAGCAGGGAGATTGGTCTCTCGGGTCTCTCGACGGGTAGGAGAGAGAACCTGGGAACGAGGTTTAACATTAAAACCTGTTAATAACCTAGTTAGTCACGATTTCAACAATCTTGCTACAATTCTTACTTTTACGTGGACTACTAGTTTTGATAATACCGGCTGCCAGGATAGGAAAGACTGGTTCTAAGTTTTAGCGTATTGAATTAAAATAAATACAGCACACCCCCCTTCCCCCACCCTCTTTACGTGGTAACCTGTCGGGTTTTTTGTTGTGTTTTTTCTTTAGGACAGATATGCTAATCCAGGCCACCATTCGTGAGAAGTTCAAGAATTGCACTGTATTGACGATAGCTCACCGTCTTCACACCATCATGGATTCAGACAGAGTCATGGTACTCATTTTATTCAGATCTTTTCCTGCTTTCTTTACTCATGTTTACTTGGGCGTCCTCATCTTACATAACACGTTTTTTAAAAAACTAAACTTGTTAATGTAATCTTTACAGCAAAATCGACAGTAGTATACTCCTTAAAGTTAGTACTTTAGATTTAAAGTACATGTAAACTTAATAGACGCACGTATCAGACCGTCCAATTTACGAGACTCTCAATGCAAACTTAGTACGTACAGTATCAAATTAAACCCAACATTCGCAACTGTCTTATTATTCCGCCTTCCTGGCATCCTTGATTGAAGTAGAAGGACCGTTACATTGCAGGGTTCATTTTGCAGTAGAGTAACAAGAAAAAAATAGCTCGTTAAAGCCGCTTGTTCTCTCGCCCACGACACATGACACGAAAAGCGAGGAAGATTGATCTAGCTCTGTCCAATAGTGTCACATCCTCGGAGACCCAGGGGCGGTCAGTTTGGCCGGGAGAAAAGACGCGACGAAATTTTTCAAGTATGGGCGGACCATTCTCACCGGACCATTTCCAAACGGTCAAGCGAATGCTGGCTCCTGATTGGGCACAAAAAATGCTTTGTATTATTGTGCCCAATCGGCGAACAGCATCTCCTGAGTTCTTTTCGTGAGTTCGTACACAACGGCTATTGACTCGATCACGGCTTATCTGGCTCATGCACCAAAGAAATGCACGCAGTCAGGAAACTTTCAGCTTGATATAAACTGTCCATTTCAAAATACTGTCTACCCGAAACCTAAAGACGCTTTTCCAAAAATACAATCTTGAGCTTACAACAGGTATTTACACTTTCATCGATCACGCCTTCGTAAATATTAGGGTCGGAGTTTTAAAAGACGCCACGATAGCTGACAGCCACGAAAACGTCGCATAAAAAGTGAATTCACTTTTTTTAGTCTCTATCGTGGTTATTCCAACTCGCTTGCTTTGTCAAATGCAAGCGAACTCTTCTGGAGCTGAATTTCTATCAACCATATCCAAGTTCATAAAGAGAAAGAAAATTTTGACATAGCTTGTTTACGTTCTTCACAAAACGTGAAATTAGGCATTTTCACGTGGTAGTCGTGCAGTGACGGCAAACAAATGTACAAAAAAAGAGTGATGCACGTGCAAAGTTGTTGTTTTGCCTTGTCAAGCTATTGCTTTTTTCTCACTTCTTGTCGCCGCTGCATCTTAAACTTCCTGTTATTTACGATACTTTTTGATCCGTCAGATACAGAATTTTCTCAGTGCAAATTGAATTGCTCCTGCTGATAGAATCCGGAACGTTTTTCAAGTCATCGGTAGTTCCTTCGTTTCTGGTTAGGAAAGCTTGGTGAACGAACCGGGCAACTGTGGCGAGATAATAATAGCCGTCGTGTACGAACTCACGAAAAGAACTCAAAAGAAACTGTTTGCCGATTGGGCACAATAATACAAAGCAATTTTTGTGCCCCATCAGGAGCCAGCATTCGCTCGACCGTTTGGAAATGGTCCGGTCAGAGTCGGTACCCAGGGGCTCTTCCGCCCATGATTGAAACTTTCGTCGCGCTTTTTCTCCCGGCCCCACTGAATGCCCCTAGGTCTCCGAGGATGATTGTGTCACTAACATACAGTAATAATTAGAAACTGACGGCAAATAACGTTGAAGCAACTACGAATTTGAACAGCTCTGATGAGATGACGTGAATATCGCACACTTTTGTAAATCAAGGCTACAAAGATTTTGAACTATAATTAGGAATACCCTCTAAAATTCGCTGAAAGTATCTTCTTCTGTCTAGTTATTTAAAACAACTCGTCTACTCCTAGTCCTTTGAACATTCATTTCAGTTTTCCTGAAGAAATTTTTACTGCAAATTACTTTCGGAGTGACAAAGGATTTCATTTCTTTTGTTTATTCTTCTTACCAGCGTACTACAACTACGTTATTTTTAATTTCATTATCTTGCAGGTGTTAGAAGCAGGAAGACTGAAGGAATTTGACGCTCCTTATTCCCTCCTTAAAAATCCAGCCACGATCTTTGCACAGTTAGTTGCACAGACAGGACCAGTGGAATCAAGAAGGTTACTTGAAATAGCTCGTAACAAGTATTATACAGATAAAACCATTCCAGAGGCCGAAGATGATTTAGCTGATGCAGAATCAAAGAGGGAGTCTGTGGATGGTTCCCAGTCTTCCGCTGCTTTGAATATTATTGTACCTTATGATCAGTCCCCCGCCGGCGCTTTTCAGTTCGAATCAACTGTTTAGCTATCAAACCTCATAGCTGTACTCCAGTATCTTTAGTAATCGCACTTGGTTATCAAATTCGTAAGAATTCCTTAGAAAAACGAGTGCGAGGAAACAAACAAAAAAAAACGTGCATGGACTGATAGCCTGGAACGTTTTTATGTAGAATGAATACAACCTGCAGTTAATCGAAACAAAAAAATCCCCTATCTTCCAGTACTATGCCAACTCTTATGCAGAAAAATTGTAATCCGCAATTTATTATATGATTATTTGATTCCATGGTTTGATTTTAAGGTATTTCGATAAAGTTTTTGGGAGATCGTACCGATGTTTTTCAATCACCTTAAAAGTGATTTTATCCTTGTCAGTTTTTAGTAAAATGGATGTCACTATGACCAAATAAACAAAAGACTTTGAAATCGATAAGATCCGAATTTTGCGCGATCTATACCTGCTACTGAAAATCCGACACCAGGAACTTATAGTGTGGTGTTTAGCAAATAACCTCCATGAGAGGCAAAAAAATCTGTATGTTTGAATTCAAATAAATCGAAAATATATTTCAAACCTTATATTTTCAATAGCTGTGATAAAATGTTTAATAAAAAAGTTCTAAATAACTCACATTAATCTTAAGTAGCGTCTAAACGCTGCTTAATATCATTTTTCGATGCCAGGAAATTTTGGTATATTTTCTTTCTTGCGATCTTGAAAACTAACCTGTTTTCTCACCACCTGTCTGACTGCAACTATATTCTAAATTTTGACTTTTAGCGCGTTTCTGTATTATCTGTAAAACGGCTNTTTAGTAAAATCGATGTCACTATGAGCAAATAAACAAAAGACTTTGAAATCGATAAGATCCGAATTTTGCGCGATCTATACCTGCTACTGAAAATCCCACACCAGGAACTTATAGTGTGGTGTTCAGCAAATAACCTCCATGAGAGGCAAAAAAATCTGTATGTTTGAATTCAAATAAATCGAAAATATATTTCAAACCTTATATTTTCAATAGCTGTGATAAAATGTTTAATAAAAAAGTTCTAAATAACTCACATTAATCTTAAGTAGCGTCTAAACGCTGCTTAATATCATTTTTCGATGCCAGGAAATTTTGGTATATTTTCTTTCTTGCGATCTTGAAAACTAACCTGTTTTCTCACCACCTGTCTGACTGCAACTATATTCTAAATTTTGACTTTTAGCGCGTTTCTGTATTATCTGTAAAACGGCTTGACAGAATTCTTTTTAAACCTCATCACAAAATCTTCATGAAGTATATAGCAATGTCTGAAACTTTCATTAACTTATTGATTCACTGCAACACCTTGAAATTTCAAGAGAAACGTACTAGCCTACTAACCGGCCAAAAGTCAGCATTACAACATTCACTGTTGATGTTATGCTAATTTTTTCCAAATTAATGCCCATCGTACATACCTCCATGGCCAGTACTTTTAGTATGAATTTTATTGTATATTTTGAATGTAAACCATTGACAACATTCACATTCAAATGTACTAGCCATGGAGGTATGGATGTATAGTGGGCCTAATTAATTTGGTTAATCAGCATAACGTCAAGGCAGTGAATGTTGTAACGCGGATTTTTGGCCTGTTGGTTAGCGATCGGACAAGGACAAAATCACTTTTGAAGACGATTGAAAAACATCGGTATTGTCTCCGGAAAACTGTATCGAAACACCTTAAGTTCAAATAAATTTGTTAGCAAAAAAAGGAACAAAACAAAAACTTGTTATAGAAACCAAAGCAAGCTTTCATCGAAAATAGACTCGGGGACAGTGCAAACTTTTCTTAGCGAGTACCCAGACAACATACACAAACGTATCATATAATTACCAGAATTAATATGAAAAGCGGCCTTATTATTCATAACAACCGCCTTCAATGGAGATCATTTAGCTGATTGTTTGTAGTTTTTATATCCTCATACTCGAACTTGGTTACCTGTAATTTGCTCTGGTGATATAATTGAAGGTCATGTATTTTTGCAAGCTGTATGCCCCCGTTTATTTCATCAAATTATTTCTAAAAAATTCATTTGCGAAATTTCTGCTACTGTCTGATTCGCACTCAAGTAAAACTATCTCGTGCTGTTTTCTCTCTCTCTCTCTCTCTCTCTCTCTAAAAAGGGACACAGCTAAAGGATCAACGACAAAATATCTGTTTCATTCTTATGTACACAAGGACTGTTCTAGGTAATCAGCTGTTCTTATCGACAATGTTTAAGGTTTCCATACAAGCTTGTGATTTTAATGTTAAATGAAAATGAGAAATGTAAGAAAGTATGATATTTTACAACTTCAATTAGTATAATGAACGGATGTATTAAATTATATGCTTTAAAAGATGTGTTCCTTTCCTTATGATGGACGAACGATAATAGTAGTAGCAGCAAAGTTGAAAGCCTGAAGTGCAGAGCGCAAACCAATTGAGCAATTAACCCAACTGGTAGCTGGACGTTACATTGATTCGTAATATACCCAAGAAAAATAAAGATGACATCGAACTTTGAGACGCAACCAACTAGTTTTTTTCTTTTTTGACAAGGCCATCTCAATAAAATGTTACGTTTCCCATAGCCCCATCGACCCAATTTTTTCGAAAAGTAAAAAAAAAATTCCAGATTCACTAGTCAAAGAAGCAAGTACTTTAATTTACAAGCACACGATCTTGTTTTGTTAACAACAATTGATATGATGTGATGTCCTTGTCTTTCACTGACATTGAAAGGTTGTTTAGACATTTGATAGTAGAAAAGACCACGTTTTCGAGTTGACTTTGTAACCAGGCTTCCCTACTTAGCATCCCGGCTTTCTCTGGAACCCAGTCCCCTTCAAGTACTCATTCGTTTTTTTCTTTTTACCCGACCGACCGACCCACCATCACAAGAGACGAGGCAATGGGAAACGAAACATTTTATTAGGATGGCCCAAAAAGACAGACGTAACTTATGCAGTTGCGAAAAGAACGTCTGTAAACATTCAGGATTGCCGGGATTCGAACCCTGACCTCAGTAAGCCAACTGAGAGCTGGTTATTTAAATTGGTTTGTAAGTGTACCAAAGACTGGTGAAGATGAACATGACGTAAAATAAACACTCTAGCGTTACATTTTGTAGTATACGGTTGACTATAATCTGACAGATGCCGTGTTTGCAGTGAATGCTTGCTACTGAGTCATTACCATCATATCCTTCAGCTCGAAGCTTGTGGGTAGTGCCGGTCGTGAATATGAAGATATGTTTATTTGGGATAACTCCTTCCGTTCTTCGCAAAGCCTCAACTGTGATAACGTTTTGTTACTTTCTGAGAACAGCACAGAAATGTTCAGAAGAGCAAAATGCACAATGCAATCATTTTAGCAAGTTATTCTCAACAGAAGAGGGAAAATAAAACAAAATACAGCCGACACTGAGAGGATACAAACATGAAAGATGTCAAATCATTTTATTGAGTTAAATCATTTTTTATGTCCCTGATAATGTTGCTATTTTACTAAAATAATGTTATTGGTAGCCAAATCGGTTCCTGATAATGACTTAAATCATTATAAGGGAATGATGTGGCTACCAATAACATTATTTTTAGTAAACTGGCAACATCGTTCTGTAATAACAGTTACAGAAAAACCACGAAGTTCTACCCTGTNGTTGCGAAAAGAACGTCTGTAAACATTCAGGATTGCCGGGATTCGAACCCTGACCTCAGTAAGCCAACTGAGAGCTGGTTATTTAAATTGGTTTGTAAGTGTACCAAAGACTGGTGAAGATGAACATGACGTAAAATAAACACTCTAGCGTTACATTTTGTAGTATACGGTTGACTATAATCTGACAGATGCCGTGTTTGCAGTGAATGCTTGCTACTGAGTCATTACCATCATATCCTTAAGCTCAAAGCTTGTGGGTAGTGCCGGTCGTGAATATGAAGATATGTTTATTTGGGATAACTCCTTCCGTTCTTCGCAAAGCCTCAACTGTGATAACGTTTTGTTACTTTCTGAGAACAGCACAGAAATGTTCAGAAGAGCAAAATGCACAATGCAATCATTTTAGCAAGTTATTCTCAACAGAAGAGGGAAAATAAAACAAAATACAGCCGACACTGAGAGGATACAAACATGAAAGATGTCAAATCATTTTATTGAGTTAAATCATTTTTTATGTCCCTGATAATGTTGCTATTTTACTAAAATAATGTTATTGGTAGCCAAATCGGTTCCTGATAATGACTTAAATCATTATAAGGGAATGATGTGGCTACCAATAACATTATTTTTAGTAAACTGGCAACATCGTTCTGTAATAACAGTTACAGAAAAACCACGAAGTTCTACCCTGTCTGGAATGCAAAATGTTGGACAAAGAGGCTTGATCTTGATCAAATATAGGAAGCCGTTTAAATACTAAGTTGAGAGAGGCGGCTATACAATGAAACCCTGAAAAAACAATTCTTTAACATGTGAACAAAATTGAACAAGTGTGTTTAGCAGCACTTGGCTTGAAAACAAGGTTTTTCGTACCTCTACTTTTTTAGAGAATAGTATGTTCCAAGTGATTAATATGAATTATTGTATACAATTGTCATCAGATACACGTAGTTATCCTTGTCCAGTTCCTTCAAGCTGAGCAACCTTCTGTGCAAAGAGCTTGATTTCTTTTTCCACTTCACTTTTTAACTGTGCTTCAGTGGCTCTTGGATGATTCTTCACATAGTCGCTGATACGCATTATAGTTTCAGCCTAAAAATAAGAGCAAATTGTCCTCAAATTACTCAAGGCCCATAGATGAAGGTAACAACTAGAAAAAGAGCAAACTACTGGAGGCCTATACAGTGAATACAATAGTTTTAATCTGTGCATGGACAGACGGCAGAAAAACATGTTCCTATTGGGTACAAACACTGCTTTGAAGTTTGAGCCAAAGGTAGAAGTTGTTGTCATGTTTTTGCTCAAATTACTTGGTGTGTCCAGCTCATTCCTGGTATAGTTTAGTAATGACTTTCCTTACTCAGCAAGGATAAATGAAAATCATTCCAAAAGTCAAAAGCCACTCTTGAAGTGGAAGATTGAGATCTTCAGATTTTGGCTCATTTGAAGTAAGCAATATTGATTGGGTTATTACTAACATGCATGTACCATATGCCAAATGGAAAAAGTGCACGTTTAACCACTGCTGACCGTAGCTTATAGTTGGTTGGTTTTCACAGAAAATGTTTCTTAATTGCAAGAAACAGTTCTTTCTTTGTTTCCCTTATTTAGAAACAGCATACACTGTAAATGCTTTTAAGAATTCTTTTTCAGGTACCTGTAAATTATAACCGCAGAGTTTCTTCTTGTGTTCTAAAAATACTTGCTCTAATGAATTCCCGCTTTCAAATGTTTGTCAAAGAAATACGTCATGTTTGTACCCTATCAACCCTTTTAATCAAAATTTAAATCGCATTTGTTGCCCCTATTCATTTCCTACAGACGAAGTAGGGAGAAGTTGATAAAATATCAAACAAATTCATCTTGTGTGATCATGTCCGTAATTCTCATGAGCACTCTGTTTTACAAAGCATTGATATTACATTTTCAAGGAAAAATTTGATGCTGATCACTCTTAGGGTTTAAAGGGTTAAAAAATGTTTTTTTCATCCTGTGTTAACGTCAGTTGAAAACAACCGAATGATTTTGTACACTCCACTTCTCCTTTTGTCCATCTATGGACGAAAAAATGTCGAGCTAAACAAATCACAGTCACAGTAACCGCCTCCAATGTTCTCCACACCGATTTTGACCGGTGTAACATTGGAACTTGACTGTGTTTCGTTTTGGATGGGACTCAACATCAGCTTGAGAGACTGTAAGTCTTTTGTAAACTTCATAACAAACTTGTCCGGTGACAAATGCGTTATAAAGAGTTCTTCCTTCTTCTCCACCATTTAGGAAGGCCAGCACCCCTATCTGTTTAGTATCAAGGAGAAAATCATCCTTTACACAGCTACATTTAGCAAAGAGAAGTAAACCAAACTATTAATCTGTTCTATAAAGCCAGCTGACCTATACATGTACATCTGGGTGAGACACTAACTTCACAAGATTAACTGTAGAATGTAATAGCAGTGGCAGATCTAGTGGGGGGTGGGGGGGGGGGGTAAGGGGTCCAGAACCCCCTGTAAGACCTGACACTTGTTTGAGGCTGAAATTCTTACATCAATAGGTTTGTAACCAGCTGATTTTTTTTAATGAAACATGCACTGCATTTTGTCACTAAACTAAATTCCAGGGATATTAAAAAATGTAATTGTTTTTGGGTACCCTCCTATGATCTGTTTGCCTCTGCTCACAAAGCAGTATTTCTCGTGCCAAAGGCAACTGGTGTTCACAGATTGAGAAACATGTGGTGGTCTCTATGAGAAGAAATTTGCCACAAAAAAGTTCAACAGTCCTTAAAGAACCAAAGTTTGGACCTCCCAATCAACAATTCCTGGATCTGCCCCTGAACAGTTCCAAAATTAATTTTTGTTTACGGTGCTGGCTCCATCATGGAAGCTCATAAATGACCATAGTTTTGGGACAAATAATATTATTACATTTGAAGTGTAGAACAGGGGTTAACTAAGAAAAAACTCTCTTGCTCGTTGTCTAAAAAGATCAAGTAAAATATCTGAATTAATGAACCCATTGTGATGATTATCTAGTGCAGGAGACAGAGATGCTTAAATAAGTGGTTGTTATGGCATGGAATCATTAAGTATCAGGTTGTTTTGACGATGGCAGTTCACCCAGACTTAAGTCAATTCATGCAAGGAGTATTTTTCGTCCTTTAACCCTGAAAAAAGGACAAGGTGTGAAAAGATAGTGACTGCACATGTGGATGGGTCAACGACTTTTTCTAGTGGAAAAAAAACTCAAATCCCCAATGAAAGGTCCTTTGAACGATTTTGGAAGGACAGTTCCCAGTGCCAAGAAATACAGCTTCAAGTAGTTATGTCATTGCTATGACAAAGGCTTAACTGCAGAATACCCTGCCATTCGAAGAATATTCTGCGTAGCCAGCTACGTGGACTAAATGAGGAATAAAGTAAAAACTGCAGCCTTTGTTACATGCTGGCCACCCGGTACGCAGAAACGTGTGATATTCCTCGTTCTTTAAGTCCTAAAGTGAAAAAAGTACCGCATATACTGTGTAGCCAGTTTCTAAGATAGCTTGCCATCTTGAATTAATTTCTTTCCGCGGAATGCATAGGTCCGCGTACCACTTAGCCAGCTTCTAAGTTAGCTTTCCATCTTGAATTAATGTCATTATTTTCCACATACTGAATAGCCTTTATTTTTCAGTACTGCTGTCCAAGTGGCAGGATATTCTAAAGCAGTTACTCCCAAATTTTCATCTTTATATTATACAACAGTGCTGTGGTGGTAACTTTTCCAAATGTGTGTTAAAGGCATCTTAGTTTATGCTAAAACTTGGAAGATGTTGACCCTGAAAAACCCTATCAGTCCACCTTAAGTACAATCGAAACGCCACATCTAAAGGGCCCCAAGTAAATAACAAAACGATATGAATAACAAATACATGTAGATATGAAAAAGGGAAAATTACAAAAGGATCCTGCACTAAGAAGATATTTCAGTATTTTAATATTGACTACGGGTATGACCAAAGTGTCAACCAACGCCACTGGGTACAGCTATACATGTATAAACAGTGATATGAATGTATAATTCTCAATTTGAGTTTCCCAAACTGATCTACAAAAAAGATTATGATGGTTTACTTGTACAAACATCGCTATTTTTTCTTCAAATATGCCACACACTATTATGTCAGATCCAAAAATGGGATATTTCAACCCATCAGTACAAAATGCGGACTAGGCACAAAATGCAGGTCTAATGAAGATTGAGGACTAAGTACAAAACTCAGGCTGAGAAGAAAAATGGTTTTCTTTTTTTTTTTCTCACCAATATAATAACTTATTTATTGTCCAGGTTGTCAAAAGTTGCTGGCTGCCAGTGAAAATCACCACTTACTTGGTTAGTATCAGCCTACAGATTTCTTCACGGATGGCTTTTTTTAAATAAAATATCATTGGACTGGAAGGGTACTTTGACAACTCAGCCATGTACTTCAAAACTTTCTAACGACCCTGATTCTCACGCAATCACCGTTCTTAGGTCGCCTTCCACAGAAATTCTGGAAATATATTTTTGTTCTTGAAATGGGCCAAAAATATCATATATAAAAGTAGCAGGTTGAAGTCCCTACATCATTGCAAGAAATGCAATCAAGTCAAAGAAGGCTAATTAAAATGTGATTTAAATGGCAGTAAAATCCCCGTCATTTCACTGGCGGCCCAACCTCAACTTGTAGTATACAATAGACCTTGTCACAGTTTTGGAAGCCATCTTGATGAGTAGGCAACCGCGTGAGAAATTACAGTGTTTGTATGAGAATCTAATGTCGCCTAATTTCCATAAAACGACTGTTCTGAAATGAATTGAATAATTATTGTAAACTAAAGTTTCACTCCTAAGGGTTCTACTGAAAAAATTGAGGGTGCTACATGTGCTAGAAGACATAGAAGCAAAATTTTTTATACATTTCTCTGTAAGAAAGTCCCGGGAAAAATTACAGACAAATACTACGGAAAATCTAACGCAAGCCTCTGGAGAAATTTAAGCACAGGTACGCCCCAAAATAATCAGACAAGGGAACAACATCTGTCATGATGAGCAAAGAAAATAAGATAAAAAAGAGTTTAGCTTTGCTTAATGAGGGAAATAATTATCAACCCCTCACTCAACCTATGGTTGAAAACACAACCAAAAAAGTTAAGTTTCCTCCCATTCTATTTTCGTGTTAGATTTAACAAGGAATCAAGAGGTGGGGAGAAGCTTATTTACGTGACGCCATGATAGACCATTTTTTAATCGTGATTGAAGTGCACTGCATGAAAATCCTTGATTGTTTACATGTACATTGAAGATCAATCAAAGAAAATAATCGTTAATTTGGCAAAATGACCTTAACTACCATCTGGTGCTTGATTTAACTTCACTTTCGAGTCTTTTGAAGTAACTTGACACTTCAGTGCGCTCAGACTCACCTAGGGAATTTATAGCTATGCAGTGTTTTTCATAAAGCTCATATTATAAAACCTCTAGTTAACTTGCTAAAATTAATATAATTGAAGGACTCTGTTTTATAAAAATAAAAATGACTCTGACTAACGTAACATTTTTCACATTCGTACGACCACTATATTTTCTGAGAAGCGTGAAAATGTAAATATTTGTTTTGTGACTTGTGAAACACAAAATTGTTGTTGATACACTTGTGATGAGACACCACCCCCCCCCTTGCCCCCTCGTCAATCTTAGACCAAAGTATAAACAGAAACCTTCAAGTACACGAACTTCTACTTCTGTCACCCACCAGGCATGAAGAAAGGCCTCGTAAAAGGAGAAGCGCTCTGCCTTCTAAGAACTAATTCCTCTCAAACCACATTTGAGGGAAATAAAATGTTTTTCGCCCATTTCAAGAACAAAAACATGTTTCCTGAATATTGTCCGTGGAAGATGACCTTGGAATGGCGATGGCGTGACAATACGTAAGTTATCATACTGGGCAGAGTTGTTCAAAGCTGGGTTAAAACAACCTAGGGTTAGTGCGAGATTTGAATTCAGATTTGAAAGCTTAAAAAGCATTTCAGTTTTAATTCTTTCTGTCCACAAGCTTATGATTGGAAGCTCTAAAAATAACAGAGAAAATTATCCAAGAAAATGCTTTGGAACATAAGAAATTTAACCCCGGGTTAAGCGCTAATCGGCCTTCGAGCGAAAAAAAAAAAAAACTATTTTTCTCCTGAGACTGCGTTTTGCACTGCAGTTTTCATAATCTGCATTTTGTACCTAGTCTGCATTTTGTATTGACCGATATTTTAACCCAATACTTTATCCAAATTGTTGTAGTCTTAGTTCTATATGGTACTATCCACCTAAGGTGAGCTTAATCTCATAAATATAAACTCACATGAGCTTAAAGAGGTCTAACATACGAAGCTTCTTTTTCCGCATTTAAACAATCCATCAAGGAAATAGGTATCGCCAAAACAAACTTGGCGTACTTGTAGCTTCGAATCAATTCACCTTTCTCCTCTTAACACCAAACGACACAACTGTGATTTGAAACTTACCTGGTTCAGAAGTTCCACCGTGCTAAGTCGGAAATTGTCCGCCATGTTGTTGTTGTACAGGTGCGACTCTATATCGCCATATTTGGGCGTTGTTTCCACTCCCACGCACACGTCACTTGTGAGAAGGCCGGCAGCCTGGACCCGAACGTCTTTTTCAAAATGGCAGAAAGAAGGGACAACAAAGGTGCTTGCGGTTTCTTTTACTATGACTGGGCTCAGTCACGATACAGGTGGTCGTCTGAAAATCATCTGACTAACTTTAAAGTCAGGAAATCTGTGTGTTCCCCATCTGAAGCCAAGGTAGGTGGTAATCATAAAAAAGTGATCCTTTGGAAATTCTATATTGCAGATATTGAAGCTAAGGGCGGGAAGAACAAATGTTAAACTGACGTCCGTTTCTGTCCTTGAACAGTTTTCCAGAATTATCGAAATAGTATTGGAGTAGATTTAAGTTCAGGTCTATATAACAAATGTCTAACTGTTTTTAAACACTTGGGATGGCTGGGGTCTTCATTGGCTAGATACCGAAAAGCAACCCTTGGCTTCGAACTTCGAAGTAAGATTAAGGCATTTACATAAATCTGCTTACGCCTAAACAAAAGTGCCCAATAGAACGGGTACATAATTATGCACATATTTGAATTCAAGGCTTTTGATTTTATATTTTATCAGTTTGTAGTGAAACTGCTTGCCTCCCCTTTAGTTTTTAATATCTTACCATTAGTTCTAATTTTTTGGATCAAACTTTAATATAAATTGTAGTGTGTCATTTGGGATTTCTTATGGCTGAATCCATGAGCAAGATGAAGCCAATCTTGTGTTCTGGGCAGAGTTTTTCAAAGCTGGGTTAACATAACCCAGGGTTAGTGTGAGATTTGAATAGACCCTGTCACGGTTTTTCAGTGACACCATCTTGACGAGTAGGCAAACGCGTGAGAAATTACATTGTTTGTATGAGAATCTAATGTCAAATAATTTCTGTAAAACGACTGTTCTGAAAAAAATATGAATTTTAAACTAAAGTTTCACTCCTAAGGATTCTACTGGAAAAAATTGAGGGTGTTACATGTGCTAGAAGACCTAGAACCACTTTTTAAAATTTTCTATATATTATTTGTCTGTGAGAAAGTCCCGAGAAAAATTACAGACAAATATATGGAAAATCTAGAGCAACCTCCGGAGTAATTTAAGCACAGGTACCCCCCCCCCCAAATTTTTTAGTACAATCCTTTGCTTTGTGGCTTTTGTTTACAATTCACATTTTTTTCAGAACAGCCATTTTATGGAAATTATTGGACATTTGATTCTCATAAAAACACTTAATTTCTCACACATTTGCCTACTCGTCAAGGTGGCATCAAAAACTGTGACAAGGTCTATTCAGATTTGAAAGTTTAAAAAGCATTTCAGTGTTAATTCCTTTTGTCTACAAGTTGATGATTGGAAGCTCTAAAAATAACAGAGAAAATTATCCAAGAAAATGCTTTTGAACACAAGAAAAAGAAACCCGGGTTAAATTTAACCTCTGGGTAAGCACTAATCGCCCTTCAAACAACAGTAAACTGGGCCCTGATCTGATTGGCTATGCGAACAAGCAAGATGGGTCAGTGACTTAGGATGGCCTGCTGTACAGGTCCCACAATGCATTATTGATCAAGCTTGTTTGGTCAAAATGTACAGGCTATACAATAATACTAGGGTAAACATGATTGGGAAAACAGGATATACAGGGGCATACGTGGTATACAATAATACTAGACCAAACACGGGTAAACAGTAACAGTAAATCTTTATTATGCCTTACTCCATTAGAAGGTATCAGTCTGTTTACAGTATATAAAGTAATAATAATGGCGAAGGGTATACAGTAATACTACGGCGTACCTATATTATTTGTGAATTATCTGTTTGCTTATAAGAGTGAGGCCAGCCTGGATGATCATAATTTGTCCAAAGTTGTGAACAAAACACCAGCTGAATGGTAGGTTGGATAAAGAACAGTGAAATGTGTGTTTATGTGGGTGACCATAGAGTCCTGCCTCATTTAGTATTTTGCTTTACAGAGTTGTTGGCTATTTTTAACACAGATCAAGAAAAAGAGGCATAAAAGTCAGATGCCCACCATGAAGGGTTTTGTTAGAAGCTACATATTATGATTTTGTGGAATCAATAATTTAAGATTGTTTGTCATCAGTGGATCAGTAGAATCAATTTTTGCAAACAGAGTTTATTTTTGTCTCTCTCCCTCCCTTCTTTGAAGTTTGGGACCAGGATTCTTAGTGGGCTAAGAGGGCAAATTATGGGATGAACACTCAGCTCACTTCATTTGCTGATTTTTTTCTCTGTTTCCTTGTTTGCCTCCCTCTTATTTGTCTTTTTCTCACCAAGTACAGTCAACTCTCGCTTTGCGGACACCCCGCTATAACGGACACCCTGATAATACGGACAGCGGCTAAATCCCCAGCAAAAACAAATTACAGATGTTTGACTGACATCAACTCCCGCTATTACGGACACTCACTATTGAGGACACTAACTCGAGGTCCCCACAGTGTCCGCTATAAAGGGAGTTGACTGTAGCCTATTAAATCCCAGGCTAGCATACACTGTTGTGTATGTGCAGTGTAATAAATTAATTTTTGTACTTTAACTACAAATTTCCCACTTTCAATGTCTTTTTTCAACAATGATGTTGGAGTACTTGGCGTGTGATGATTTTACCTTCCAGCAAGCCGTCTCAGTAGCTTACGACTTTCAACTCTTTCTTATAGGAAAGACCCCATTATTGGCAACATGAAAAATCCATTGCAGGACAAAGATGTCAACCAGATTCTTCAATGCAACCAGGTCAGATTCTTTATAGAAGCAGATTTTGCATGACAATTTAAGCCATGAAAAGTGCTTTGCATGGGCCACTGGTTGAGGGTTTTGGTAGCCAAAATTTCAAAGCTACAGTGTACTTGTAGTCACCATGAGGCAAGTAAAAGTTGTTTTTTGGTTAGAGAAACTGGATATACATCTGCATTTGCAGGGTACCAGCATGGACTTTATCACCTGCTCTTTTCAAATAGTAGTGTGGGTTCTTTTACATTGGCTTTAAGTGGATCAGATCCAACCAGCAACACTTCAATCATCTGAACTGAGACAAGGTCTTAAATCGTGGCAGGTTTGTCATTAGTAGCTAGTAGCCAATAGCCAGCTTTTTTAGCTGGCTACTGCTGTAAAATCAACCGGCTACTTAAGGTTTCTAAACAAGTCAAACAACACAAATATAGGAAAATTTGTGGGATAAATGACTTTGCCAAATTGTTTAAGACCACTGTTGATGATCTGGCTGGGGTTAGTTTTTAGCCCATTCAGCCGTCTAGGTGTCAAACTATGAGTAAGTGAGGAATAGGTAATTTTATACGCTGATATTTTCTTCATAATCTAATATCAATTAATTATTCCTTTTAGTTTCCCTTCAGAAGACATTCACAAGAAGATTTACTTGCTCAAGTTATCATTTCAAAGAAAGGTGAATGGCAAACTTTGTAATTAAAGTTACCAGGATGCACTGATGAACAGTTGGGTGTTGAATACAGGTTCTTTTTTTTGTATTGTTTTGTTGAGCTTGAACTGAGGTGCGCTTGGAGAAAAACATCCACTTTGAAATTTCAACCTTGATTGGATGCTGTGTTGGCATTAACTAAGACAAGAATAATGGTAATAAAAAATCAGGAAAGTCACTTAAACAGTTATTTACATTTAACTATACATGTCAGGATGCTATTTCTTCTTTGTCACTAATATATTGTCAGAAAAAAAAAAAATAAAGGTTGCATGATATACTGAATGTGCAGTGTTTGCTTTGATTATTTTTGACCCTTGTATATAATATAAGTTTTAACTTTCACTAAAGAAGGCTGTTAATTTAATTTGGGAAAGCATCAAAAGAGTGTTTCACATTTATTATTTGACATCATTAGGTATTTCTTACTACCTGTGATAACAATTGAATAACATGTCATAAAACATTATTTATTAATTTTTAGCTGTCTCTTTATTCCCTTTAGGACCTACTGTTGTTAAAAGTCAAAGTCTCTGCTCCTTGCAACCCAAAAATGAGGCTCAAGAGGTACAAATGTAGGAATTGAATTAGCGGTAATAGATAATAAATTGAACTTCAGATGAATGGGTTAACAGTACTGACTCCAATTTGAATGACTATTTCAGTGAAATTAGACATCTATGTGTCTGCTGTTCAATACATACTCCTCAACCTGACTATTGATTTAATTAACTCATTGGGTAGCCTGCACATAAGTACACCATACATGGAGGCTATACCACAGGGAACTATTACCCAGTCCCCTGGTCATGCTTTTCATTACTTCCCCTTTGAGCAACACAAGGAGACAGGACCAATAGCTTTATAGTGTCATTCCATAGTGATGCAAGATTTATCCTAAAGGGCAGCTTCATTAAAGCCAACATAAACTCATCAGTTTTTCTTATCTAATGAATTCTCCCCTACCCGTCCCTACAGAGTGAGAGAGAGACAGGTAGGAGAGAGAACCTGGGAACAAGGTTGATGAATGACATTGGTTTATAATAATCATATTATAATGTCTAGGACTCAAACCCACATCCTACGAAGCTATGATACTACCACCAGTAATGAGATGCAGTTAAACCCTCATTTTGTATTGTTTTTGTATTGCTTACCATGTATGTTTTCTGAAAAGCATAAACAGAGAAGTTAGTTACCTGCTGTATGTCACCTCTGGATGTACACTTTAAACCAGATATTTTCCTTAAATAGTCCATATGCCTCCAGCAAATCATCACAACTTTCGTACCCAGCATTATGAGCATATAAAGACTTGCTAGGCTTAATTAACTTATGCTGCCTGCTCAATTATTTGAGCAGGCAATTATCTGACTGAGCAACATTGGAAAACCACATGTCCAGCAGTCCTTTTTGGGGACGAGCACAAGCTCTTTTCTGAACAGCCACGGGTAATTGAATCTATACATAAGGAGAAGTGAATGTTACATTTCCTCTCTCTTTCTCTCTCTCTCTCTCTCTCTCACATAAAATGAAGATTACTAAAGGTCATGGAACAATGATTAGTGTTCTACAAACAAGGTTGCTCAGATTACGAGCTGCACAAACACTCTGGCATAAGGTATGTTTTTCTTAAATGGTCGCTAGCTGATACCAGGCAACACTCTGATGTGAAGATGTTCAAGATTTTGCAGTTTTGTCAATAATTACTTGGCACAAAAAAGATTTGGATGGTTTTTGATTGACTTCAGACAAAAATAATGTCCGTAATTAAAACTGCCTGAAATGTTTAATTTCAAAGTATTCCAGTATTTATCTTTTTTCATCCAAGCCCAGTTGGAATAAATTGGTGTTATTTTCTCATCTGTGTAGTGTAAGTGTATCTCTAAAACCTTGAGGACTGCACAGCAAACTATCACAATTTTCACAAATTTTGTTTTAATGCAAGTCATGTTTTGTAGGCATACATTTTTTGGAAGTAGTACACGGTAGCAGTACTAAAAATTTTTGTCCAGAATTTGTCCAGAGTGAGAGTAAAATAATTGTGTGAAATTAACGTCCAGAGTATAAATAAATGCTTTGTTCTAAGTTCTTTCGCAAGTAATGAACAGCAGCTACAATATCCTTCTTTATTTGAACAGTTACATTACTGTTGTTTGTTCACAGGATACAAATGCCTTAATCGAGTATCTCCTACGGTAAGCAATAATCTTTTTAATTCTTTGATATTAGGTTTCTGGGAAACTGCCTACCTACCCCTCCCCTAAGCTAACATTAACACTTAATTCTCACTTTGGGCAAAATGATGGGTTAGGGGAGGGGTAGGTGGGCAGTTTCTCAGAAACCTAAATTGATCCATTGTTTCTATAATAATCGTCATTATCACTTTTTGCTCTTGGCGCTTTACAATGAAAAGTATATACAAAAGTATAAAAGTATATGTAAGTATAAACAATTAAAAGTTTAAAGGTTAAAATGCAAAGAATAATAAAATAATTACAAGTCAAAATCCATTTTTAAAAGGTACCGTAGGTTTTTAAACGATTCTTAATGTCAGTTACTCAATCTTAAATCTAACGGGAGAGTATTCCATAGTTTTGGGGCAGGTACAGCAAAAGCCAATCCCCATATGTTTTCAGGCGAGCTGACAAGTCTCTGTGATGATGACCGCAACGTGCGTGATTTTGTTTTATACTAAAAGCAGGTCTGAGATGTTATCAGGTGCTGCGCCTTTAAGGGATTTAAAAACTAACAGAAGAATTTAAAACACTGATCGAAAACGCGAAAACGACACCAAGATTACGAGTTGTGGTGTCTGAACAACCGTCCTATTGCCAACTCAAAGGGACTCTAAGGGAGGTCTTGGACGATATCTTGAGCTGATTTGAAGGAATTCGGTCTTATGTTGATTCAATTTTAGTCTGTTGTTAACCATCCAGTTATTGATGTCGCTGACACAATTTTCAATCAAGGATTTGCATATAGCCATTTCGTAAAGAGAATCACTTTTGATGGCTCAATAAAGTTTGGTGTTGCATCAATAAAAACTAGTTGTAGCTTTCGCTAAGTGCCAACGAAAGAAAAAGAATTTGCCTACATCACCGGTTTTAGTTCCAATGTTTATAAAACCATTTTAGCTGCTGAGCCGAGAATTTCCACTACAAGCACTCCTCCTTTTCTGCCATGCTCTTGGCCTCAAAATCGCACTTATTCTTCTGCTTAGACATTTTTTAACCTTAAACTTGTCGAGTTTCAAACAGCGAAAGGGAAATAACATTTATAGGTTAGCACGAACTTGAAATAGCAAGTTGTAGTTCGTACAAGTACAGTAGTGTGGCAGAGAACATTGTCCAGACTTTGAAGGTTCGTTTGTTTACAACAAAGGTCATCAAAAGTCACGTGAAACTACACGTGAAATCTAACGCCACTAAAATTCCCAGGGAATCTACACCTTACGTTACACTTTTCACAGCACGATCGAGGATTTTTCTGCCTGCTACAATACTTCGCGTGGCATTAAGCTGGCCGCCTCTCAAGCCGACCGTCGTCTTCCCTCGGCTTGCTCGTTGGCAATGATACTCAAGATTGTAACACTTTACAAGGTCAGCGAGCGGAGAAGTGTAAAGTACTTACAGAAGAGTCCCGAGGACAGATACCTGCGGGACGTCGCGGTCCAACAGACGTCGGGATAACCTGGAAGTATTCACACTGATAAACTTTGTGCGCGACTTCAGCCAGCGAGCGCAGTTCATTTCACCCCGAAACGAGTAATGCCACGGTCGACAGGAGGCGGCAGATAGATCAAGTAGAAGTAAGATAAGAGAATTGTTCTCAACCGCAGTAAGAATGTTATTTTGAACCCTTACAAGTGCGCCTTCGGTGCTATGAAACCTTTTTTTCTAACATAGCTAGAATATTCGCCGTAATCAAATTCAATGGCGAGAGCGTGCTTCATATTCCCATTAAGCACGCTGATGACGTCAATAAACTATGACTCGAGTTTTTGTGAGCTTAGCAATCCTCCCAAGTACATCCATAACTCAACAGTACACGATGAAGCGTTAACCATGTGTTTCAAAACGTAAATTTAAGAGAAAACATTTGAATTTGTTAACCGATAGTAGGGAAAAGTGGTGCGTGTTGTTGTTGTTAGCGTCATCTTACAACTCTTTCGTGCTCTCCAAACTTCCCCCGTGCTCAACATCTCGACATACGCACGCTGACGCATGGACTAATTGTTAAATATGTAGACATCAAGATGCAGATCTAAGATATGATTATTCAGTTGCCAAGCAAGAACCTTTTCGATTATTTTAGTAACAAATTTTAAGTTTGAGAAGGACGGAAATAACTCTTCATGATTGACATTCTTTTTCTTTACAAGTGGTGATACTGCAGCACTTTTTAAAGTTTTTGGCACTGTACCATCCAATAAGGGACATTGATAATTTACGTTAACGTAGGAAGGACCATAGGTAGACAGTTCCCAAGGACGGTTGCAGGTAAAGGATCAAGTTCACACGATTTAGAGCACAACTTTTAAGCAATACGCTCGACCTGAATCACGGTAACAGTCTGAAAGTTGAAGAGTCCCTTACAGTGTTTGTCAGCAGTGTTAGGCTAGTAAAGTTCAACCTCTGCGGCTCTTTCCATGAGAGCAGTGTGTATCTTCTCAATCTTAGAGTTGAAAAAAATCATTGAAGGCGTTTGCCAAGCAGGTAGAGTCTAAACAAAACATGAGAGATAATCAAGTATAACCTAAATGGTTGCTTCCAGCCAGTTCGAGGTTTGAACCGTTTCACCCTCATATATTTAATTTTTTTGTTTCAAACAACCCTGGATCCCCGCTCTGTGGATACCTACAGTATAACGGACAGTTTCGTTTGTCCTGACAAAAAGCTCATGTTTCGTCCTGACATCTGTAACTCTTACCCTGCCCCTGGATTGAAATTGCTCCTTACTTCGGTTGCGTCGAAAATTCAAACTTCATTGGAGAGAATTTATCAGAAATGTTGAAATTTCCAACGCGTGAAAGCTATTATTTCACGTTGATCATTTTTGTCCTTACAAAGCAATAAACGATCAAAGATAACTATACAGAACAGTACCTATTATTCTCAAATTCAGGTCGCTTTTCTTGATACGTCATGTTTCTCTAAAACTGACCACTTTATACGGACAATGGGCACTTTTCTGTGTCCTGAGTCATTAACTCCTATATACAGTCAACCCTTTTTTTGGACACTGGTTATCTGCCGACTTTTTATGACGGAATATTTTATCAGCGAAAATCTTACTTAAACTGCAAATAATCTCTCGAAGTTTTTATCTAGCATCAAGTCCACCTGGCTGAGTCACAATAAAAGCTCAGTACAAAGTAAAGTGACGGACTCCATTGTCGTGTTTCAGACGGTAATTTTTGTCTGGGACTATGATAAATGGTCGTGAGGTGTCTTTTATTCTTTCGAAGGAACTTGTTACAGTTGCAGATAACAAATAAAACATGTCTTTCTCATAAAAATCTCTGCTTTAGTCTTTTTATCAATAAAACATGGTCATGCAAATAATATGGGCCTCACTATGGCATGTCTCCTTGGACGGTGTCCATATTAACTGGTTTCCACTGTACCCGCCAAACTGGTACTAGAATGAAGTGCCTGGTGTAAAATATATTGGATCAAAGATTTGTGCTCGTTCTTCTCTGCAAGAGGTCCTAAGTTTGAGTTCTAGATGTGACCTAAAATCATCAGTATGACATCTTTTTTGTTTTTCGTAAAACGGAGGGCTGGTGGGGAGAGGGGGTAAAATAAACGCACTTTCAGCCTCAGCTGTGTTCGTCAGGTGACGACTATTTCGAGTTACCAAAGTATAATAAGGACGCGATACCTCTAACTTTTCTTTTGGTAAAGGGTCAAACTTAGCCTTTTTCCCTGAAGGTGAGAAGCTGGCTTATGTCAGGTTTACACCCTGTACTGAAATGATCCCTGCACAGTCTGTCACTCAGGTTGCTGACAAGAAACCGAATGTTTTATGTTTACCCAGGTTAAAAGATGAGTCTGTTTTGGTTGATGTCATGCCATTTCTAACTATCAGGTATCAGTACCATTTTAATGTAAATGAATAATAGAAGACGTATATCTATGATCCTCATGGATTGCAGCACTGGTTCACACATTATCCTACTTTAGCAGATTTACTTATAAAACGTTTGCTAAAACCACACTAAAGTAAGATTTTACTCATGCCCCATGACAAAGCTGAAACCTAAAAGTGATGGATTTTTCATTTATGGGGTGTTAATCTGCTTATTCACAAGTAAAACTCAATTATTCTTTACAGTAAATTATCAAACATGTCCTCATCGTAAGTTTGCATGTAAGCGAAGGAAAGAGATTTAAACTGAATAAGGAAATTTTAATTTCTATTAGAGGAATTTTATTAGGCTGAAGTCTTTTGTTTTTTTCGTTTTAACTATGTTAGTCAGATTCCTGGTCGTGTTTTGTTCATAGTACTGAGTAGGGTTCTGCACGTTATTAAACTTGACACTTTGCTTGCAGAGTTCGTGAAGTGTCCCCTGAAGGGCACGCCTTGTCCATGGGAGCCTGCTTGGAAATGTTACCAGTGCTGGAAAAACTTCTCACTTCTAAATTCGAGGAGTAAGTTACACTATAGACCAACAATAAAATTTGGTAACTGTATTGTGGATAGAGTTGTTCTTTTTTCTAAGTCCTTGATACACAAAAATTTGGTTTTACCAGCTGGGTTAATTTACTGGATTGTAAAGAGTGTTGTAAACGCCCTACAAACGTTGTCTTTCGGAATAAACTAATTTACCAATATTTTTCTTATATGGACACTAAAAGATAGAAAGGGTTGTCTACAACTGGCATTAGTAGAGGTTGCCGAGATTCAGCGTTAAATAATGCTCGTTACGACAGCTTTTCATTTACACCAAACTGGGAAAGTCTCACCGGGGGAAGTTTCTGTTACTGCTGAATTCTTGGGAAGCATTTTGCTCGACAACGATTGTTCAAGTCAATAAGAAACGTGTCCTACCCCTTAGCACTCTTGAGAGAAAGTATGGGTTGTAATAATACTATGTGTCACCGTTTACCCGAGCTGTATATTGTCCTGGCCCCGGTTGTTCGAAAGACGTAGTGTAAGTTGTTACGTTATCTTAAAGCTTTTGCAATACTGTAACTACATATAGTCATGCAAATAAAGCTTATGTTGTTGTTGTACCGCTAAAAATCGAATCGAGTTTCAATTTTCGAGTCGAGAAATATTTTAAGAACTTGTCGTGAGAGCGCACTCTTTAAAAGTGTACACTTACCTTTCATTCTAAAAATTACTGCTCCTTGATTGGGTGATAAACTCGTTCGCTATCGTATAAACGAGGCTTGCTTTTTGGAGGTGAAAACGTTTGCGTATTTTTTCCTGTTAATAGTCCTTTTGAAACTTGCTTGAAAATAAATGAAACTAGAAGTGATAGCATAAGTGAGATACATGTAATAGCGGTGAAAATTGCGCCTCCATTCGAAAGTAAACAATGACGAAACAACTTGTGGAAAAAACGACCGACATAAATAAAGAATACAGCAACCCCTCATTAATGAGGTCATTAATGTACCGTGCAATGTACGGCTGTAATTCTTTTTTACTTCCATCGTTTACACATCAGATTAGCGGAGAAGAATGAGCCTCCGTTTGAAAGTAAGCAATAACGAAACAACTCGTAGAAGAAATGACCGATATAAATAAACAATACAGTTACCCCTCAAAAACAGGATTATTAGCTAGTGTGGTTAAAAAAAGTTTAGTTACAGTTGTTACTGTAACTAAACTAAAAAGTAGTTAAGGCAATATTGGTGCTATCAAGGGAGCTTTGTCACGAAATTTATCAAATTCAAACCGTGGGGACTTCCAACAAATTAAGTGAAGCATAAAAATAACCGCTCAATACATTAAAAGAAGGTATAAATAACACTCAATTCTAAATCAGGCGCGGATAGACAAACTTGAAGAAGATTCAGATCTACCAAATTGTTTGAATGCGGGCTCTCCTAGAATGTTTGCCGACGACACTAATGTTACCTTTTCTGCAGCTACTATACCTGATCTTGAATCCCAAATCAATAGTGACCTGAAAGATATTGATTGCTGGCGTTTATGGTTTTCTGATCAGTACTCCCACACGGCAAATATGTAAAACAGTTTTGAGAATTTAAACTAATTTTCTATGTCTGACTGATGTTTTTAACCGTGTACAAATCAAGTTATCATTCATTCAAACGGATTGCAATTGTGGTTTTTGAAAACTTGTTAGCTTGACAGTTTTTCAAAGATTGTTTTTGATTGTTTGAAACGTTTGATATGGTTTGATGTACAGTAGAACGTCGATATAACGAGCCTCTGTGTAGCGAACTCGCGGTATAACACACAATTTTCTTTACCCCAGTAATTTAAGTATACGAAAAAAAAAACTCGTCATAGCGAACAAACTTTGCCAGTCCCTTGGCCCGTCGTTATATCGAGGTTCCACTGTAATGGTTGGTAGACATATTTGACACAAACATGTGGATTTGTCATTCACAAGTGAATTCGTAAGTTCCGTAGCGAGCAAGGATGCGTAGTTGACATTCTTAACAAAATGAACACACAGCCGGCTGTGATGCAGCCCCTTTAAATTGACTAACGAAGATTGTATTCCTTGGTTATAGTTACATTATTGCTGCCCTGAACATGATCAGGGAAATGATAAAACGGTGGTGGATGCAGCTTAAAGTTGTCACAAACAAGAAAGTTTCACCCGAGTGGCAGCGATGTAGCAGGTACGTTATCAATAGGATCCACGTGAGGGGGTCGTGTTGTTAATTTCATGACTGGGGTCTGCGTCGTTGTGTGACTCGTCTCTATTTTTCATTTCTTACGTTTACCTTCCTCTTCACGTAGGTGACCAGTTAGAGAACCTTGCTGTAATCACTGTGAAAAATGTTTCTTATGTTTTTGTAACACGATACTGGAGGACCGACAAGGAGCAGTATATAAGATCCTAGGGGATAAGATCAAATACTGCAACTGCCTGGCCACTTACATTGATGAGACCGGCAGAAACCTAAGCACGCGACTGACTGACCACAAACAAGCGACAGGAAATGGTAACGTCAACAATTACATTGCTGAATACTATTTATGGACGAAACATCAAATCGACTTGGACTTTGCGACATGTATTACGTATTCTACAGATTGTTATCAACGACTTACTTTAGAAAGCTGGTTACTAAATTAGAACAAACGCCACTAAATCATAGTCATTAGTCACCGGCACCGTACAAAAGACTTATTGACGGAATCACGCAAAACTAACTACTAGAGAATGACTGGACAACCGACAATTTGACTAACAATAACAAACTGTTAAACTTTGACAACAGACGTATCGAAATCCACCAGTGACATTTTGAGTCTTTATAGCCAATAACATCACGGCTTAAATGACAGACGACCAATGACATCGCGACTTAATTTACCATGATCAGGTCAATAACCAGAGTTAAAATACCATCAACTGACGTGATACAACTCACTCTGACTCTGAAGGTGACTACCGCACAGGTTGTCAAAACGTCAGTCACTGTCAACAACAGTCCAATTTAGGAACACGTTCACCCGCCGGGCGATCATGCGCAACCTACTTATGAAATGATTTCTGGGTTCAAACCTTTCACACTATAGTCGTTTTCTGTTGTTCTTTTATAGGAGCGTCAATGGCCTATACATGGCAATACTTTCTCTTTCTGCAATTATTGTCAAATTGTCAAAAAGAAAAGGAAGAGTTGGCGAGAAAGCTATTGTAAGTTATATTTAATCAGTGTTTGATGCAGATAACTGGTAAAAGAGGTTGACAAGGCATCAGGGTGGCAGTGTCAAATATAAGTAATCTATAAACAGGCATCTGCAGGCCTAGGGGCCTTCAAACTTACTCGTGCTCTGCATGGTACCTCGCCAAACCCTACTGCGAGTGTATGTCAGGCTTTAGTCCTTCCCTACCAGCATTATTGCTCAGAGGTCTGGGGATGCATGGGGCAAAGGCAAAACAAGGCCGGGAGAATTGCATCATTTAATGTTTACAATCGAAGATCTGCAGATATTCCCCAGGACCTAGGATGAGATACCCTTAAGCAAAGATGCTATATATGTGTATTGCAATCTCATCTTTATCCTGAAGGTGTGACAAATATGTTCAAACCAATTTTCATGGTTCATTCTTATAACGTGCTAGGCTCATCAAATAATGCTTTTGTGCCCATGGCATGTACTAAAGCTGCTTAGAGGGTGTTTAGCCATAGTGGGTTTGGTGTGGAATAGCCTTGGTAACAAATGCAAAGATGAGGCAAGATCTCATTCAACTCTTACAAGCCTGCTCTGACTTTGTCTTGAACTAAAGCGGACTTGAGAGAGTTTCTATAGCACTTACTTAGCTACAGTGTACATTAATTTTTGTGCAATTCTAGAATATTTTCTTTTAGTAGTTAACATCTTTAGTGTCTTTCTATGGTCATGCATATGTTTGAACTTGGGACTACCGAAAACAAATCCAGCTAGCGGTCAGAGCGGGACTTGAACTCTGGGCCTCAGAATTGCAAGTCCAGCGCTCTAACCACTTGGCCACGCTGGCTTCTAAGGTTTAGGGAGGCATTACTGGCCTTTTAATACTATGCTAAGTGGCGGGGACGATTCAAAGAACCCCAGAAAACAAATGAGTTTGTAGCTGCGATTTTGCGCGTACATCCACCATGGAGTTGATAAACGCTAAGTCAGTATTGTTACTACTATTACGCTAGTTTTAAATGCGAACGTCACTTGTAGAAGTTATGCTATTGAGGAAATTCTATTGTTGTCGCTAATTTGCATTTGATTCTGTACATGTGAATCTCGACGTTGACAACGTGCGTTACTTATGCTAAACCTGTTTCTTGCAGGTCGTTACAAAGCTGCTGGATCTCCTATGACAACTTCTAACAAATTTCTAGTGGCTGTTATATTTCTTACTTAGCTGCTGAATAATCAACCCCGATATCTAAAGTCCCAGACACAATAAAGACACCGTTACTAAACTTTGCATAGAAACTCGTGACCTTTGACTATGTGCTAGGGAAGTACAGATAGTATCATGAATCAAAAGGTCACCTAGTTTCTCTCTTTTCTAATTCGAAGTTCCAACGTTAGCGAAAAACAATTTTGAACGAATTTGCCAGGTACAGTGACGTCAAAAGTATTCCCTCAAGGTGTACAATTAATTTATCGTCACTGTTTAAATCATATCAACAGAAGTAGACCATTGTAAAACTTGATTTTCGTCTAACCAGTACTGAACGTGATAAACGTGACATCAAGAATTTCAGTTTCTTAAGTAGGTTTAGTATGATCGTCCGGGTGAACGTAGTCCTGAATAGGACTGTTGTTGACAGTGACTGACGTGTCGACAACTTGTGTGGTAATCATCTTCAGAGTCAAAGTGAGTTGTATGACGTCAGTTGATGGTATTCAACAGTCCTAATCAGGACTACTTTCGCTTGGACGATCATACTCAACCTACTTATGAAATGATTCCTGAGTTCCAAACTCTCACACTCTTCAGTTTCTGTTTAGCGTTTCAACGGAATTGGACGCATATTGTAGCCGAAACTAATATAAAACGAGGCTACTCAACAAATACTTTGGATATTTTATAACTCAATTGTGTGATTCCCCCATGCAGAGGGATTTTACTTAACCGGCGAAACCGGCAGTATATAACCTTTAGTGTTAAATAGTTACAAGTAAACAAAAAAAAAATGAAACTAGGGTGCATTGAAAAGGTATTAGTGTACTATCCATTTTACGGGTTATTTAGAATCAATATATTTGCCCTAAGTGTTGCTATGTATTTGAGTTATTTATTTCTTTACCCTTAAAGAAAGTATATTTTTGTGGGTAGTAGTGGTTTACCCAGTCATTATAGATATATTCAGTCTTCACTGTCATTGTTTAATAAAGTGCGTTTTCGCCTTTGTCCAAATTCCTTCAATCGGTTACTGCTTTCCATAGACAAAAATAGTTAACCTCTACTGCCAATGTTATCAACCCCGATTTATTTGGTAATGTTACAATAATGTGGGAGTTCACGAGCAACTCCCTCGCTTAACTTAGGCTGTGTGCAAACGGGCTCAACAACTGCCAACATTGTTGCGCCAACAATGTTGGGAGTTGTTGCGTGCATGTTGGCAGTGGTGTGCAAGCGGATGCAACAACTCCTAACAAGTTTGGGACCTGCAGTGCATCGTGGGAAGAATACAACCCATAAGTCTTTGTAATCCATGCGTAATGAGTGTGTGTGGCCCCAACAATGTTGGAAGAGCTGTGCAAACGGATCCAACATTGTTGCGCTACGCTTCGGCGATCACGGAACAAAAGAAATGTTGGGAGTCGTTGGCTGAAAAGTTTGACCAGTATCAAACTTTGCGCAACAACATCCAACAACATGTAAGAGGGTGTGAAACGGACGCAACATGTAACATCTAACAATGTTGGGAGCTGTTGGCCAGCAATCTTGCGTCCGTTTGCACGGGGCTTTAAAGGTACCAGGTATCTGAGTTTACATCTTGGTGTTCTTTATTCTTCGCAGCGGCTTATATGTTTTGTCTACACCATCATTTAACGAATACACCGCAACTAGTAACTGCACACCCTACAACCACCAATTATCATCTACGCCAATGTTGGCAACTTAAATAACTTGAATGTACTTACGTTCGGGCTTACTGATCATGAGAATTACAAATGCTTTTCCGAATTTCCTGCTAATAACCAAAGTGGAATAAACAAACCTATAAGGTTAATAATGTCAAGTACAAGATAACCAATTTAAGCGAACTCTGATGTAGGTGACAATCAAGGTCAGCGATGGTTCCAAAACATGCCGACTTCCACTTACACTAAAATTTAATAAATGACGTTCATGTTGAAAAACTACTTAAAAAGGTAATAGAATTTGAAAACCTGTTGATACAAATACGGAGTAACCTTGATCTACAAACTGATCATAACAAAACTGTAGGCTCGAGTAAAACGTCCACCTAAAATATGAAGTAAACTAAAAATAACTTACAAAATACTTCACAACATTCCTCCCTCCTTAGATGGCGCCTCGTCCTCGACGCAATTGGATGTATATTATACAAAAAAGAACTAAGAATTAAAGTAGTATATAAGGTAGCGGTTCTGTGACAACGACCACAAGTGGCCACGCCTCGCCCGCTCGGCGTGGTGGGCTTGATACTCGTTGTTGGCCGTCACTTAGAACCGCTATCTTTTAGATCCTTCTATACTACTCTGGGTTTGGAGCACAATCTTATCGTCAGCAGAAACGCAATACAAGCAGAAACCAGTCGAAACCGGAACCCCAGACGAGTGCCGGCACACTACTTCCGAAGAATGAAGAAGGGAGATGATCACATTTGATCGTTACATGAAAACGTGAGCACAAAAAGTGAGGGACTTCATGGACGTAGTCAACAACAAAATTGAGACTTACATCCGAAACGGGTCGGAGGTAGAATTCGAAGAAGCTGAAAAAGCCTATGTGAACGTAGCAAGATATGAACCACTTCTTGTTAGAACGTACATGCCACTCCCCACAAAGCTACAAGACAAGAAAGCAGTCATCAACGTGCGAGACAAAAGGGACAATGAGTGTCTGAAATGGTTAATACGAGCGCCGCCGTTCCCCGCGCCGAAGGGGAAAAACTCCTGCAGAAGGAGCACTAATTCCGCAAAGGATGGGATCAACTATTCCTGAATAACCTTTCCAACCCCTTAAAAGATCTTTGGTTGGAACGGAGAGTGGTTGTGCACAGAATAGCCAATAAAACAAAATGTGTGCCAGTTATTAAACTTATGATGCCTGCGTCTGGAGATACTTGGCAATTTTCCTTCGTGAAAAGCGTGCGCGCTTTTTTGCATGATCAGACAAATTTCCAAGGAAGGAAACACCACTGTTTGCTTTGTTTTTCAAGGTTTACAAAAAAAGAAATCCTGCGAAGACACGAAGAGGTCTGTAAAGGAATAAAAAGCAGGCCAATGAGAACAGTAATGCCCAAAGAGAGTGAAAACCTGGTTTCCTATCGAAAAGTGGGCAACCAGCTTAAAGCCCCGTACGTTATCTATGCCGACCTCGAGCTGATTGTGGAGAAAAGGCAAAGCTGTGAAGGAGACCCACAAAAGAGTTACAAAGTGAAAACAGGCCGGCACTCTGCATATGGACAAGGTCGTAAAAAGTAATGGAGAAGCCTCAGAAACAAAATTCTACCAAGGTCAAAACGCCGTGGAAGAGTTTCTAAAGGCGCTTCTGCAGGAGAGTTAAGAGATCGAGAAGCCTAAAAAGCTGTCCATTAACTCTAAGCTATAAAAAATATGGAAAAAACATTTCTTAAAAACATTTAAGAATTTGTTTAAAATGTTTTAAAATACACGACGTTTTGACGTTACCGGACGTCATTATCAACTGAAAAGAAATACAATATGAATGTTCTATAAATACAAGAAAAACAATAGTTCATTAAAAGGAAACATGTTACAAATCAAACAAAGAGTTTAGCACTGTTGAAGTCACTCTGAGTGTTAAGGCTAGGCCTCAGACAAATGTTTACCGATAGCTGAATACTTGTGTTCGGCAATGCGTTGAAGCTGTCGGGCTGTTTAGTCAACATAATATCACATGCAAATTTATAAACAACGCATTGCTGACTTACAATACTCGGTTTAATTTCTTTAGGCTTAAGATCTTGCTCCAATTTTTTGCTCACAAAAATAGGCTGTAAAGTGACGGCAATCTTATTGCGGAGATCACGCAATTGCCTACGGACTGCGTTAGCGGCTATCTGATATTTGAATGGAAGAACTATTCTGATCGTGAAAGGAACTTGATAGCTGGTCCTTTCGTTGCTCGTCCCTTTCACTCTTTCCGCATTTCTCCCCTAGCAGTTGTGCCGAGGAAGACTCCTAGGGATTTTCGTCCTATACACTATCCATCTGACCATAGTAGTGCCTTTGTAGTGTTTGTTATGCCACTATTGAGGATGCTATTCGCCATATTAAGACCTTAGGTTCGGGATGTTTTTTGGCTAAGACGGACATAAAGAACGCTTTTCGGATTATTCCTGTGCTATAGCCTTCTGGGTATAGCTGAGTATTAGCCACATTATTCATTTACTTGATGACGTTCTCATTATTGCCCCCACTAATGCCTTATGCCAAAATCAACTGAATTTATTCCTGGACTTTTGCTCTTATCTTGGCGTTCCCATAGCACCGTACGAAACACTTGGCCC